TAAAATCTTTTAAAAAGGGGAAAATCTTTAAAAATCTTCTCAAGAACAGTAAAGCCCTGATTAGACATATTTATACTGAAACATCCTAAGGCAGTGTAGATTAAATTTCGTTCAAATCATGACCCGCGGGGTCAGGGTGGGGCCACAATAAGCAATCAGACTGTTACATAGGGTTATACAGGGAAAAATATTTAAAAATCTTCTCAGGAACAGAAAAGCCATGATAAGTCATATTTATAAGGACCCATCCTCGGGTAGTGTATAGATTAAAGTTGAAATCATGACCCCAGGGGGTAGGGTTGGGCCACAATAGAAGATCTACTATAAAAGATCAGAGTTTTACAAGAAATTAATACATTATACAGAAAGATTTTTTTTCAAGAGTGTCAAGACCACACTCTATAATATTAAAGAGCAAACGTACTAAAAATATGCAGAATCCCTTTTTTAATCATGAGCTTTGGGTTAAGGGTTGGGACGAAATCAGGGATCAAAATTTTATATAATGCGTGTGTACAGGGGAAAAAAAGTCTTTTCCAGAACAACAGAACCATTTCGATTGATTTGATACTGAAGCATCAAAATATTTTGTGGATTCAACTTAGATTAAATCATAGCTCTCCTACGGCTAAATTTTGTTCCACAACATGAAATTAAAGAGGAAAATCAGCTGTTGAAGAATAGCGGGGTCAAAGTGACTCAGGTGAGCGTTATGGCCCATGGGCCTCTTGTTTAATTGATTTTTTCACTCATATGGAGACTCAACTACTTGCCGGTGGAGAGCTGCAAATTTTGACCTATACTCGGCAATTAGGGCCATTGAGCAGTGAGGGATCTTTTTCTTGCCAGCACCTACTGTGACACGGGACCTCGGTTTATACGGTCTCATCCGAAGGACCGGTCTCCACGTCCCACAGTGGGATTCGAACCCGCGAAGCAAAGATCTACTTCTTACTCCGCGACTCTAGAGCAAACGCTCTAACCACTGCTCCACGCGGGCGATACGTATAGAATTAGGAGACATAATTTTACCGAATTAAAGATGAGACTAGGTTCACTCCTTCCAAATACTGGAACTAAATCGACTAATCTGCTTGGGTAGACGAATCTTCTTAATGTGATACAAAAAGCTTGTAGTCCAGTGGCTATGCTGTTATTTTTGCACACAACTTTGCTGGGAATCCTCACATTTGCTGAATCTACATGCAACATAAAAACTTTTTTACAGTAACTAGAATTAGGACTTCTGGAAGTTAATTTAAAAATATATATATATGTATTGACAGTCAAATATTATATTTACACAGGTATAAAATCTAACCGGAATAGAGAGAAACATTGCTCATCACTCAAGGCAGAAAAATTCAATCTCTGGCTGTCTGGCATTAGCTGAGGGGATTTTTTATGATCTATTTTGGACTCTAAGATGAGGAATTTATCAAACTTTAATAGCCCCTCATCTAGCAAGAATAGTATATTTTCAATACTGAAAAAAGTAAGCGAAAAAAAAAGAAATGAAAACTTGTAGACCTATATTCATGACCCTAAATTAGATTTCCCCGTTTTACTACGAAACTTTTTAAAAGTTTTGTGTATTTTCGAATTTTAAATATAAGCTAAAATTCGGAAATAATTTCTAGTTTCCTCTTTCATAACTTATTACAAGACATACAAAGTTAATTTGTTTATTGTTTACCTCAAATCTCCCATTCCTGAAGTTTCGACGTCTGCTACAAGCACTTCCGGTGTTAGGCGTAGCTAAAGTAATTGTTAGCTCACGACCAGGAAGTAAACGTGTACGTGTAGGTTACACGTACATGTTACAAATACATGTATCTTGTAATTAAAGGTCTCTAATATTGAATTTCCCTGTACGACAAATACTGCTCCTTTGTAAAACAATTTTCACTGAATTTTGTATTCCCTGCAAATGGTTTTTTCAAAACCTAAGAATATTGAAGCTTTCTTTGTAGTTTCCATTTTTTGGTTTATACCCAGTACCTTAAATAACATATTTATTAACCTGTAAAATCTAAGCAATATCAATATTGAAATTTTTCTTTCGAAACATTTTCTTGAAGTTAATAATATTATTCTATAGTTAACAGGTTTTTTGACTCTATATAATTTAGACATAAACGGAAAAAAGTCAATATCAGTATCTCTCTCTCTCATTCCCTTTCGAGTGATGATAGTAAATTTTAATTATTACGATGATAAAATAAAGCCAATATTTGTAATAAAATGATCTCTCTAGCTTTCGATTAAGAATATAATTTTATCATTTAGATGTAAAAATAAAAGCAATATGACTCTAAAATTGATCTCTCTTTCTCCCTCTCTCTCTCTTTTTCTTCCTCTCTGTTCAAAGCTGTGGTATCTGTTCAAATGTCATTTTTGAACACAGAATTACAGTAAATTGATGAAATATCTGTAATACATCTTTTCGTCTAACACAAGTTTGTTTGTTTGTTTTTTTTTTTTATGTTTTTTTTTGGGGGGGGGGGGGTGTTGTTTGCTGTAACCAACTATCATATTTAGAAAAATTGCTCATTGACTCTTTGCAATGTTATGCAGGTGTCCCTCCAGCATGATACTTTTTGATGCAACATTTGTTATTGAAACTGGCACTAGATACCATATAATCATTATCCTTGTTCTTCTGAATCATACGTTAATATTGAACAAACCTAAACTTCACCATTCAATGAAAACAATCAACACTACCTACTTTTGCCATAAAATCTTCTTACACTGTTTTCATCTTAATCAACTTAAGTCACAAAATGAATATTTTCTCTTTCTTGAAACAGTTATGTAAGAAAGCATATACCAAAGCATTCAATTTACTCTGATGAAACATCGAATTAGAGAAAGCGCGAATTTTCAACCAGATCATAAGGGACTAGGCAAAAAAAAAAAATTAAATAAACGTAGTGGATATTTTCATCAAGAACACATTTTAGGGGCTAGGCAAAATTTATCACCATTATGGGACCGGTACAAAAAAAATTTCTCATTAAAAAAAATTAGATGTCCCATGGCTTTCGTATTGAAAAAAAAAAAATTTGTCCCATGCCTTTAGACTTATAAAAAAGTTACTGTCCCATGGTTAAATCTTGATGTGAGATTATTGTTACATTAAAGGTTTAAATCTAAAGTTTAAGCTTAATTATAACTATCTCTTATCTAAACTTTAGATTTAAACTTTTAATGTAACATTATTGCACCCCCCCCCAAAAAAAAAAAACAACAACAAAGAGTACCATGTCAACAATTACTTTTATATATTAACTGAAGGAGTCTTTCAGATTACAGATATTTCAAACATTGATGAAAGTTTTAGTTTAAAATATATTTTTTTTTCATTATAAATGAATTGGATTGAACAGCAGGCATAAATGCCTATAATTGTTTTATGAAAGTTTTCTGAATGGATGAAGCTTGAGAGACCATTCGTGTAAAATACATGATTGATTTTGGTTGTTTTAGAGATGTTACTGTAGAATTTGTTAGCAGTATATTTTGAATGATTTATTGAAATAATTTGTTTGTTCATAACTCTTATTAACATTGTTTGTTTCTTTGTTATTTTTGCATGCAGTATTAATTTGAAGATTTATGTTGCACTTTGTATCCTTTGTTTGACTTTAAAAGATATAATGACTTTTTGAAGAATTTATTTTTTTAAAAGATAAAATATGTTTAGATATAATAAATGTGTCTCTTGAGTTAAGTACTGTAACTCATTTAAAAAAGTGTTTGTCCCATGGCTACTTAGTGCTAAAAAAATGTTTTTGTCCCATGGTTTTCTTCGAAGAAAAAATTCATTGTCACATGCCTGTTTGTACCGGTCCCATCATTGTGATAAATTTTGCCTGGTCCCTAAAATGTGTTCTTGATGAAAATATCCACTACGTTTATTTAATTTTTTTCGGTGGTGGGGTGGGGTTAATCACCAAGCTAGAGCTGCTGGACACTACAATCCAGTGCATTTGCACTGCAATGTAGTTAATCTTTTGTAAGTCAGTAACTTCTTTTCTCTCCCTGTTTTATTTGCCTAGAAAATTCAATCTTTGCAGTTGCACTTCAATGTGATTCAAGAAGCAATATCAATATTGAAATATTTCTTTCAGAACATTTTCTAGTAGTAAATAAAATTATTCTATAGGTAGCAGGTTTTTGGCATTATATAAATAATCTAATTAATTAAATTAATACAATTTCATTAATGGAAAAAGTCAATATCAGTATCTCTCTCATTCCCTTTCGAGTAATGATAGTAAAATTTAATCATAATCTTCTTGATGCAGCATTTGTTATTGAAACCGGCACTAGGTATTGCTACTAAAAACTCCATAATCATTATCCTTGTTTTTCTAAATCATACGTTAAACTCTCTGCAAAATTAGCAAACTTAAACTTCACCACTCAATGAAAACAAACAACACTACAAAATGTACTTACTTTTCCCATAAATTACGCCTTTTGAAAAGGCGTTATAACGCGAAAAAAGGCGTTACGCCTTTGTTGGCGTTATAACTTCTTTTCACTTGGCGTTATTACACCTTTTAATTTTTTTTTCACCTATAGATTGATCCTAATAGGCTTTCGTAACAATGTATCTCATGCATACATTCGGGAAAAATCCTACGGCTATCATTTCATTGATAAATAATCTATGTATACCAACTGTACATCTAAATTTCATCTATTTATCATGCAGTCAGTATATGGTTGTTTAAGGTTATATTTTCTTCAGAATTTCACATGAAATACATCATAAAGATGGCTTCAACAAGATAGTTTATCCAAAAAGGTCCAACTGTTAAAATGGGTGAATCGGAGGGGGGGGGGGGGTTGCAGAAGTGCCTGTATTTAAAAGTATATCCTTATATACATGTATATCCTTTAGTGTATCACGCCTATATAGTATTAATTGTTTAATTTTCGGTTTAAAGTAGACAGAGGGTATTTAAATATTGATAAGTAAATATCTGTGCTTCGACGAACTTAAATGAAAACCGAAAGAAGTATGGAGTCTCTTAGGATATACATAAGTGGTGCTCACAGCACAGGCAAGACCACGATTATACAGGACCTCTGCCCCCATCTTCCGGGGGTTAGGGTAGAAATGGAAACAGCAAGACGTATAATAGAAAAACATGGCTGGCAAAGAACTGACTTTCACCCACAGCGTTCTCCTCAAGTTTTTGAACAGTTGAACACCGAAATTCTTTTAGCAAATATCAAAATTGAAAATGACAACTTTCTTGAAAAAAGAGGTTTGTAGTTTGGCTAAGCATGCGCAGATCCCCCGGGGGGGGGGGGGTTCCGGACCCCCCTGGAATTTGCAGTTATTTGATGTAAATAGTAATGTACAAATAAAAAAATACCTTGACCCCCCTCCCGTAGAAAACGTGGACCCCTGTTAAGTTGGTAGGGAACAGTCATACATATGAAGCTTAAGAAGTGAGAAAAGCTGCCCCCTCTCTCCTTCTTTAATATATTTTCCCGTTTGGGAAAGGAGATTCCCTCTGTTCTTTTCTATTGTTTTTATTTCTTGCTTGTCTACAAATTTGAAGGTTAGATTTCTATTTTTGGCCTGGGGTGGACCCCCCCCCCCGAAAAAAAAAAAATCTTGGATCCACGCCTGCTAAGATTTTCACATGTATATGTTTAATTTTGAACACGCTAAAAATATTTTTGTAATGATATGTACTGTTTATTGGATCTGACAAGTGTTTCCGTTATAGACCACACGTGTTTGCTAACCTTGCAGTTTTATCCTGGGAAAGTTCTGATAATTCATTCATACTTGTAATTTGATAATGCCATGCCTTAGCCATCAGAATTCAGTATGAGCTTGCTTGTCTTATTGCATGTACATAGTGTAAATAAAAGCATTCGTGAAACGGCTATGTAGTGCCTTCATTTAATAATATAAAGTAAAACTACAACAATTTTATATGCCAAAATCAGCCTCGTACCAACAAAAGTACATCAATGGTTATCCTATATGTACTCCCTCCAACTCCGCACTCGTAAAAAAAAAAAACCTGTCCCACCTTATACATGTTATATATATATTGGGAATCTACCCTCTCCTCAACGATTTAAGAATTTTGTGTGTTCTGAAACGAACAAATGAATTGTGTGTGTGTGTTTTCCTTTCTCTGTTTTGGCGTGCCAATTATCCCCCCCCCTACATGTATTTTAAAAAACGATGCCTGCAATGTAGTTTGAGTATATCCTCATAACCCCCCCCCCAAAAAAAAGGACAGTTATGCGAACAGAACACAGGATTCTCGACAACAATCCCAGTTATAAGAATCATATTTTCATTCCAAATAAGGAAGTTGTATATATGATTGGATTTGTAGTAACTTATTAGCGTTGTTTATTTAGATTTTCTTTGTGACCGATGTCTGGATCCAATGGCGTATGTAGAGATGTATCTTGGACCTGAAGCGTTTGAGAGGATCAAACAAACAAAAGAACTCGGGCACATGATACAGAGGTAGCATATATGTAAAATTGCTCTCTTTATTATCGTATTGAAAAGGTAACTATTTCATTTGATCATCTGAGGAAAAGTGTTCAGTCCACAGACTGGAAAATACATGTACATTTCCATGCTCCTGTTAAAAAAATGTATACATTTAAACAAACTGCAAACTGCAGAGTCAAATATTCTAACTGATTTCTCCAGAACAAGCCGCGAAATAGGACGAAGAAGTGCAAGGAATTATACTTCATCATGTTTATAGCAAATTAATGATTATCATAATAATCTGTGATATTTTAAAATAATCTACATCAAAATGATTCAAACTAACACACCCTGGAAGATCAGGTAATCAGTAATCGGCAGGGTTACCATATATATTTAGGACAATGTTATATTGTTCCCCAATTTTGTTTAGGTTACGGTCAGCTGTGATCTTTCTTATTGAGCCTCAACCTGAGTGCATCTCAGATGACAAAGTCAGACTGGTGTCTACATTTGAGGAACTATGCAAGTACACGACCTACTTAAAAAGACTATACGACAGTTTCGCCATCCCTTACGTAACAGTGGATATACTTGATCGCAGGGAACGTGTATCCTTCATTCTTCAATGTTTGCACACCAGAGCATCAATGAAAACTAAATGAAATGTTTAAAGTTATGAAAATGTCTTGAATGTACAAACACATTCAAACAATATGCCTGTAGTCTACAAAGTTCTACGTATTTGAACAAAACTGGATGAACATCAAATTATTTTAGTGCATTGCTATATTCTGGGGAATAGGATTTTACCAAATACATTTCCATGTAAAATTTTGTAAATCCTATTGTTATTCCTATGCCAGTCAAAGGGTCACGACTGAAACAAATCAAACCAGTGTTACACAGTGTTACGTGGAAATGTGAGCCAAATTTACACAGTAACATGACATACATGTACTTGATTCATACCTATGTACTGAATTATCTAGATGTATATTTATAAGTAACTTTTACAGATATTTACATGTATTTATGTGACTGGTGCTCTATTCAACACACACCTGAATGATACAGTAAAAAACAGTTACAGCCAACATTTTCATTCCCTGCAAGAATCAAAATAAGCATGTTTTACTGTATATATACCGGTAGATAACAGAACCGAACCTTCCTGCTGTATATTAAAATCAACCAATAGAATGTAAAATAAAGCATTTATTTACTTATTATTTGTACAGATATAGTTCATTTATAACATACAACTATTTTTGCCACGGCAATATTGGTTTTTACAATTTCAGAAATTGTCTTACTTGAACACCACAACAATATACAAAGATGCATATTAATAAACATTTCTTCTTTACATAGAATGGTTAAGAAAATAATTTCAAACCAAATGCAAACATGTACATCAAAAACTCATCAATCTGAGTTTCGACTCTGACAATTTGCTTGACGTGTTTTATTTTTGCCCACATCATGAGTTTATCAACTTCTCATCAAATTGCTAATCTAGCCAAAACTTAATCGTAGCTTGCAAAAGGTAACAAGATGAATTTAAGGTTCCCCTATAGGCAAACTTTTGTTTGTAGAAACCATGCTTACTGCAGTGCACATTTTCTTTTTTAAAATGTTCCTATTTCTTGTAGCCCGAGAGCTACTTCACAGCAAACCACAGTTATGTCAAGTTGACAAAAAATATTTGAATTAACAGTTTTCCATGTAAAAGATATATTCTAAGAACAAAAGTTCTCTCTGCAATAGCAGAATTTGAAAATAAAAGTCTACAGCTCTTTTGTCCACAAGAATTCAGAAGCTAAATGACATTCAAATTGTTGCATATATGTTTTTGAAGAGCAAGTTAGCATTCAAACTTCTTGAAATTTGGCTATTTTGATAAAAAAAAAAAAAGACAATAATCCGACTCAATATCACTGAGAGTTTTTCAATGTTGTCTTACATAGATATTGAATATTAGTATAAGTGCGTATTATAAGAAGTGTGAATGCTAGCTTGCACTTTCTAAACCTATGTGAAATAATTTGAATATCATTTTGCCACTGAATATACCTGGATAAATTAAGGGCTATATTTTCTGACAAATTTTCAAGCCTTCAAAATATGCCGGTAACCAGTACTTTTACCTGGCTGAAATTATGATTGTATACCAGCCAATATATTTGATGGAGAAAAAATGGTAGCATATTTAATTTATAACATTATTTTGTCAACTTCATTACTGTGATGTGCTGGTATGTAACTCTCAGGCCACAACAATTAGGAACATTAACAAAATTTTGCCACTGTGAAAACTGTTTCTATGAACAAAAATTTGTCTTTAATAGAACCTTAATTAAAATTGCGCAGATCTGCATGCCTTCTAAATGCATTGGGGCAAAAAAGTTCCCTGATCTGCAGTTTATATACATATGAAATGGACAGAAAAGAAAATTGATATAAAGAACAAAAGGGGATAAAAAAAATTACTTCATTGGCCTGTAACATCAACATTTATTAGCAAGAGAACCAGATAGAGAAAGTCAATAATAAATATTTCAAATTGTCTGACAGCATTATATATGACAACTCTGGTGGACCTTGTCCAATTAGCACTTTAAATATTGTACATGACACAATTAAAAAGATAACATTACGCCACATATGCCCTGGTATTACAACAAAGAACCAATTAAACTATATATGTCTCAAAGAGGGAAGTATACATTACATTCACAGAGTTGTTAATCAGATCTAAAAAACAAAAAGCATGTGCATCACAGAAATGGCTTCAACATAGTTGCATCAGAAGTGATTATCAAAGCTAGTAAACAGAGTATTAAATACTCAATTCTTATTGTACCCTCAAAGCTATAATACACAATAAATAAGCCAAAATTACATCGACATACAATAAACATATCAAAACAATGCCATGTGCCTGTAAACAAATTAAATACAGTTTATGAAATATTAATTCTAATACTGATGCTTTCAAAATACATGAAGTCAAATAAATACCCCAACATTAACTAAAAAGTCAGTCAATTCATCTGAATGCTGTGGTAATTCAAAGGTTACTCAGCCCAGTCAACATTATACTTCTTCAGCAACTACACAGACAAATGGAAGCATGTTTTCTATACCTAAGTATCACAAAGAATATCTAATAAAAGCAGGAAAATGTTCAATCAAACTAGCTTAGAATTCTGAACAAAACCATTTTGAGCAAAACTGCATTGGATCAGCAAATACAAAATGACGTTATTATTATCCAAAAAATAGTGCTGTTACTTAAAACAGTAGTCCTTCAATTCAGTAAAGTTGAAGCTGAACACACCAAAAAACCAATACTCTAGTGGACGGTACATGTACAGTGTAACTGGCAAAATCCCGTGAGGTGACCAGTGTAAAAACTGTTTATGTAGGGTTGATGATGTCATTTTTCCGAATGTGGTGACTTTGATCTAGGTTTCCAAATTCAAAACTCATAGTAAGTGGCTGCCTCCGCTGCCGCCCGGCAGGTGCTGAGGCAATCTTGTCATTGAGCGAGAAAGGGGAAACACCTTCTGAAGGCCTGCAATTGAAGATAAAAAAAAATTATAAATTGTATAAATACTGCTAAAGACTCATTTTTCAAAAAAAAAAAAAAAAAAAAAAAGAAGAAAAAATCCATTAATTGTGACTTTTTTCTTTTTAATGCATTTTAAAATCTTTGTAAGAACAGCAATTAAAAAAAAAGAAAGACGATAACAATCATTTTAAGTCTGTTGAAGTATTTTGGTGAAATTGGCAAGGACATTCATGCAAAAAAAAAAAAAAATGTCAACATTTACATGAAGAAAAATTGCACCTACATTTAAATTACGGCTAATTCCTACATATTTTACAAATAGATTATTATTGATACATCTGACTTATATTCTTTATATTATCCCCTACTGTCTTTACCTGCTCACATTTGCTTTTGATGACATCATAGCAAATGTGCACTTTTACTTATAACAAATGTCTTATACCTCTACAGGTAAATTTGTAAAACATCCTTTGTATGATTTCAATTTAAATGAAACTAGGAAGCACACATAGAATGCAATATGGTTTTAAATCATGTCACACTGCAAAAGCAAACACTGTACACATCAGTAGTGGTTTACATGTACAGTGTATTAATTAGTACAAGTGTTTGTTAAACTTACCATGTAGAACAACTTGCATTCAACAACAAAAAAAATATTTAAAAAAAAAACACACCAACAATACATATAAAAATTGAAAAGCTGATTCAAAATATATATATAAAAAGAATCTCTGGGGAAAAGACCTGCCTTCCAAATGCTCTCCTTAAAACCAAATTTTCATAGAAACCAAATAAGATGTGGGACATTGAGCAGCAATTTTCCATAACTACAAGGAAATTTAGATTATGACAGAAGTTCACAAAAATTTAGATTTCCCTTTGCAGTACACTGGGTATAACATAGAACAACTTAAAACAAATTGGAGAAATAAACAAGGAATCTCTGCATTACATAATTATAAAACTACAACATGTATACTATCATCAAATGTTTGTATTTAAATTGTTACTTTACTTTAATTCAAAATACACCAAAAATATCTGCCCATGTTTAGGTACTTAAAGTACTGTGAGCAAGACCACAAAATTATACCCCCACCCCACCTTTTACAATCAGAAAAATATTATCCTACCTCTTACAAAAGTTATGGATCAGAAACAAATTTTACACTTTTCTGTCAGTGCATGACCTTGAACTTGCCAAATGACCTTTAGTCAAGGTCATGACACATACTCAGTTGATAAGTAATCTTTGTAAATATGAGATTCCAATGTTTCTCAGTTGGAAAGTTATTGCACTGACAGACAGATGGACAAGTGATTCCTATGTGCACTCCCCCTCCCCTTTCTCCCTTCAGAAATCTTTGCTTGCAGGGAGTTTAATAAATGAAATACATATATCTAATTTGCAATCTGGCTCAGAAAGAAAACAACATTGGAATGTAAATAGTTTTGCATAAAGGGTATCTGTAAAGAATTAAAAAGGTGTACTGAAAATTGCAGCTCAAAGTCCTCTCCAATATTCTCCCGAGAAAGCAACACACATTTTACCACTGGTGTAATATGTATCCCCAATACGTATCAAACAAGTGCACGAGCGGCCATATCCAAGAGGACCTTCCCTTTTTGAAAAAGATCAGAAATGTGAATGTTATCACCTAAGACATTTGCAGGAATCAAGACAATACAAAGTGGAAATACTTTTCTTTTTGTCAGGAATTCAATGGAACAGTTAATAAATATGTACATATTGATTTCTTCCTTATGGAACTTTTCCACTTTGTATATTTTTCTCTCATTGAAATTTCACTTGTACCTGTCCAATATCCTCAGAGAGCTGGAATAGGGAATTACTGGTAGTTAATGAAACTGAGGTCCACTGACTTTATAATAATTATTTTATGAAAATATTAATAAAAATAATTTTGATGACCTAATCTGCCTATTTAAAAATTGCATGCTGGTACAAGTCTAAATCCTATTAGAATGCATCTTGTTATAATACAGATTATGTCTTCGGCAAAACAAAAGGGTTATTTGGGAAGTTAAAACTGCACTGCACAGTTGTAACCTTTTCTGCTTGACACTGCTCCCAGGTCATAACTGAATGAACCCCTTCTAAGTGAAATACTTAATGATGTGCCAAAAATATCGGGCAGCCTGAAAGTGTACAACATATTCAAGTGAAACATTAGGGAGTTTTTAAATAAAATTATTATTACATGCTAAATGACATTGAAAAATTATACTTCTTATATAAAAAGCATTTTTTAATGACAGCATGATGACAAAAATACTGTTTTCAAGGAAATCTTTGTAAAAACAAAATTTTGATTAAAAAAAAAATGTGTTTGTGAAACACTGATGTTCCATATGATAGCTTGGCACTAAGGTTAAAGTCTTTCAAAAGTAGGTCAAATTCCAAGGTCAAAAGGTCAAAGTCAGGAGGTAAAAAATGTTGCCACGAAAGAAAGATCTTGTCACAAGGAATACATGTGTGAAGTACAAAAGCCATAGCATCAGTCATTCAGATATTATGGCAAAGATTAAAGTTTTTCAGAAGTAGGTCAACTCCAAGGTCAAAGTCAGGAGGTCAGAATGTTACTAATGAAGAAAGATCTTGTCACAAGGAATATACATATGTGAAATATAAAAGCCATAGCATAAGTCATTCAGAAGTTATGGCAAAGATTAAAGTTTTACAAAAGTAGGTCAAACTCCAAGGTCAAGGTCAGGAGGTAAAAAATGATGGTACTGAAAGGAAGGCCTTGTCACTAGGAGTACACATGTGAAATATGAAAGCCCTAGGACTAACCATTCAAAACTATGGCCAAGGTAAATGTTTGTGCAAACAGACCTAAAACAATATGCCCCTGAATCTTTAATTACGGAGGCATAAAAATCATTTAATTTTAAATTTGATTTTAATAATGTATGCATATTAATAAGAACAGCTCCCCCTTCTTTGGTTTCATGAAGTTATCAAATTCTAATTGTACTGAGCTATTTATTAATTGGATAAATAAAAAAAATCCAAAATTTGAAGATGTTCCCTGCAATTACTTCCAAAGATATGCTAACAATCCCCTTTCCCAATTGACACATTTCAAATATACGTGAATTATGAAACAACAAACTATGTATATGGAATAAAAATCTACATAGATAGTTTCTTATCATAAAATTAAAAAGTCCGAAAGAGATTACAACTAGTTATAACTAGTTATAAACTTCATTTTCTTCTCAATTGATATACATTTGTGTATACAGGGCTAGAAATAATTATTTTGGTTTACTGGTCACTCTGGCTACTGCCTTAACTTTTTACTGGTCAGCTTAGTACTTTCACTGTCCCACTGGGCCAGTAGGTTTTAAAAAGACTGGCTCAAAACCATAATAATAATAGTTATTATTTTTTTATATTGAGATATTTTGAAGTACAACTTAAAAAACAAGAAACAGCAGAAGTTGAGACACACAAACCTGTAAAGTTAACTAGCCCGACTGTGAATGAATTTTATTATGCATAAAAAAAATGCTGACCCAAAGGGCACATGCCCTCTGCAATGCACTAGCCCAGATTGAAAATTCATCGGCCCCAGACCAGCAGGCCATCAATTATTTTGAGCCCTGGTATATCACAATATTTGTGCCACAATAATGTATCATGATATTTTTATTTGGTTATAAAATTTTCATTTAAATGTACTGAAATAAAGAATATGTATCTTCAAACTCTTCACAAATAAGAATAATCCATTCTTATTAGCTGTATATCTGTTGTTAAACAAAAGATTAACAAACAACAAGAGGCCCAAGGGCCTTGAATCACTCTTCTGATAAATTGTACAACCTATCACTTCTATAAGAAGCCTCTAAGTATCCTATATATTTAGATAAGGCTTGAAATTCCAAAAGCAGGTCATTGTGACCTACATTTTGCTAACACTGAGAACCCAAGACGCATCAACTGACAAAGATTGATGATTCGAAGCCCCTTAATATTCTGTACTAAATATTCAGATGTAGCCACAAAATTCCAAAAGTAGGTCAGTGACCTACTTTTTGGTAAACATACTCTGAGACCCAAAAATGCATCGACTGGAAAAGTTTGTTGATTCATAGTTTATTATTTTAAATATTCAGAAATTGCCTTGAAATTCCAAAAGTAGGTCACTGTGACCTACTTTTCAGTTGACACACTCTGAGGACCCAAGAAACATCAACTGGCATTTTATTTGTTAAGTTCTCATTGTATGGAATTTTTACAATAGCAAGTTTTTTTACTGTTGTATGGATGTTTTACTCTCTTTTTAGTCTTACTAGAAAAATAGAAATATGTCCATAAGACATCAATGCCCTGCCCAGTGTTCATTAATAATGCAACAAAGAAATGTATCTTGCTTCTTCATTTCAGATTAGGGTAAATGAGGAAAAGTAAAGTTAAGGTCACAGGAAAGATTAAGATCAAAAAATTATGACAAAGTTGAATAGCTCTCACTAGTTTGTATAAGTGTACGATGTTTGATGAAAATGTCTGAATACATGTAGTTTTATTAAAACTGAGTTTTAAACAAAATAAATAGTAAAGTCAAAGGTCATGGGAAGGTCAAGGTAAAAAAGTGGACACAGTTGAATAGTTCTCACAAATATGTATATGTATTCAGACAAAAATATCTTGATTAGTTTGAAACTGAGCTTTAAGAAAAGTGAGGTCAAGGTCAAAAGGTATGTCAAGTAAAAAAGAATTGGTGCAGTTGAATAGCATTCACCAATATGTATCAGCATCTGATGATCTGATAAAATATCATGAATAGTTTCTTTGAAACTGAGCTAAACACAAATTTAAGACAAGTGAGTTCAAGGTCAAAGGGAAGGTCAAGATCAAATACTTTATGCAGTTGAATAGGTTTTACCAATTTGTATCAGCATTAGAAGTTTGATATAAATATCTTGAATAGTTTCTTTGAAACTTAAGTTAAATGTAAAGTGTGTCAGAAGGACAGATAGAAGGGTGGATGACAGACATGATGAACACCATATGCCCCGTCCATATTCACAGCAGGGCATAATGACTTCAAATGCCCATATTATTTCAAGTTGAAGCCTCTAGAGACTGCCAGGTATACCAGTACCCATTTAAAGTACGATGTAGTTTCAGACTTCAGAGAATCATGATTTCTCATTTGATAATGTTTTTATCCTGTCAAAGATTATTTAATAAAGTTCATTTTCTCTGTTCCCTAACAGTGGTTTATATTGTGATGTCGTTTGATGCTTATATGCAATGTTAGTTTTTAGGCTTCTTGCATGTTTAAATGAAAACAACGTTGAATATGATCTGGACAGTATGGCATGTGGAGGGGGTATACTGAATTGATATGTGGTCAGTTAGGTCACGTGGAGGGGGCATATTAACAATATAATGTTGGTAGGCAGCATAATATGGTTTTATCCAGTATTCTTCTCGACCAATGAAATTTCAACATTTTTATCAGAGGCAGGATAAAATGTCATATCCATGCTGCAAAATCAAACCTTGTAAGTACATCAAACTGATGCAGGGTACACATTTTAATGCTTTAATTCAATTTTTCAAGTCTTTTTTTCCCCCTAAATTAAGGCTTAAATAAAACTTGCCTAATAGGCTAAATAACTAGTTCATTTTCAGATAAAACAGATAAAGCTTAAATTAATATACATGTACAACTTAGAAAATGTTTATAACATCATGTTTATTTGGTTTTATAAAAATATAATGATGTGGTGTAACTGTCCAAAACAATTAGCTGGGTTAATTCAGTCTGAACACAGGGAACAGTATCAAGTTAAGAAAGTCCTTTTAAATTTCTTAATATTTAACATGTTAAAAAAATATAAAAATAAATATACATGTAATCTTAATCTTTTTTAAGAATATACATGTATCATCAAAACTTGGAAATTGTTTTAAAACAACTAAAATTAAATACATACATATACATGCATGAGCATGCTGGAGAACATATACCAAATAATAATTAATTGTCTTTTAAAATAACAGGTCACATGCACTATAAAAAAGGCAAGATATTTTACACATTTGTGAAAATTCTGCATGTTATGAAATGGCCTTTATAATATCTGGAGTTTACAACACAGTTAGACAGGTTGACCTGTTAGATACACAGATTGGCAGTGGTTTGTCATGTAATATGTGGTGGCATAGCAACAGCATATATACTATACCTCCATGTCAACCAATCACTAGAGTTCTACAAAAACATATCAATGCTCCTGTCAAATGTGGTTTTCAAAGAGCTGTGAATATACTGTAAACGGGGTAATAAAATTTCATGATTTCAATATTTTTGAAATTTAATGACTGAACTCATTGACATTTTTTTTAAAATCTAGTAGTGTTTAACATTAGGTAAGTTGACAAGAGGAAACTTTGACAATTATAAGTTGTTAGTTAATTTCATCAACATTTCCACATTGACAGTTTCTGTATACATGTATATTCACTGTCATTTGGCAGAGTCTGGAAATTCAAAATATATGTTCCTTAACCCCCCCTCCCCCTTTTTCTGCCTGCATCTTTAACAGTAATGATTAAACATTAATTATGTTGACTTTACGTCACATCTTACTACCCATCATCCTTTCAAAGAGGTCAATATATGGGTGGTCATTTGTACAAGAAAAGAAAGCAGTCTCTGAGATGAAGTCAGAAATAATATGATAGATTCCTTAACCAAATTAAATCAGAGAGATATGACCCACTGTTTCACAGAGCTTCATATCTAGATAGATAAAATATTATACTTTAGAAGGAAAGAGAAAAGTCTGTAATATAACACTTTAGTGTAAAATTTGACTAAAACAATGCATGACAGCCTTCTGGCAGTCCGTAATAAAACATCCTCAATATCTATTTACTTCTTAAAGCCTATAACATGTAAAGTTGAATCAATGAACTTTCTGAACAGCAAATTTAACTTGATGTAGAAACAGGAAACTTCATAAAACTACATGCTTTACAAAAATACTTGTAAAATAATAATAAGCCACATAACCAAATTTATACGTAAAACTCAACTACCTGATATTTGTAAAGTGCTGTGAAATACAGTGCATTTATAACTAATAATGGAACATAGTTTTTTTAAAGTCAAATTGTTTTGTGAAGACTAAAAGGGAACACTGTATTCACTATGTTGGATTATTTTAAAATAATTTTCACTTGTTTACATTAATTCATTTGAAAAATCTGAACCACTTAAAAAAATGTGAATAAATTCTGTGAATAATTAAATTTATACTTACTTGGATCGCAAGATCCCACTTCGAGTCTTCATAGAGGCGGAATGTTTCTGGGAAGAGTCCTCGGAAAGGTTGCTGTTGGTTCTTGCAAGAATTTCGTCAAATTGTTTCCTGGGTAAACCTTGAAATAAAATAAATAGGTTGCAGTTCAGATAATGCTATACATGAAAGCAGCCTTAATATCATTAAAAGGTTACTTTTTAAAAACTTGTTCTTCTTTATAAATTAGTTTGTCATTAGAATTCAGTTATCATATACCCAGTAACTGAAAAATTCCACATATTTTTGGTGAAAAAAAATCTAATTAAAATTGTTTTGTTCATTTTCTTTCTTATGACAGTAATGTATGTAAAGGATGATATTTGTTTTCAAATTCAAAATCATTAAAAATTTTATGCATCTCTGATCACAGTTATGCCCGTGACTTTTAATTATTCCATCCATGGAGAAAAATACCCAGAATCACCACAATTAAATCCTCCACATTTTATGGTATATGTATATTTTATTTATTTGGAATGCATTGTTATTGTGTATATAATGTTAATTTTTTTTATCAGCTAAATAGCAAAAAAATGTACTCAAGCATGAAATTAAAAAATATAGGTCAAAATTATATTCCCACCAAAATAACAAGCTAAACGGTACTATATTGATGAAATACATATTAATTCGTAAACTTCTTTAATCATATAGATGTATACATGGCTAAGATGACTGCATTTAAATTTCCTTGCTTTAATGAGAAGAACATAAACACATTCACAAGATTTTTAGTTAGGTTAATCTATACATAAGTTACCAGAAATAATAAAAAAAAATGCATAAATTAAATAGGTTAAGTACATGTAAATGAGTACAATCACCTGCTGTTTCATATGACTGTCATGTTATACATACTACACAACCATTCAGATGACAATTTAGACAATTTAGTTTCACTATTAAAAGATGGTACAACCGGATTCATCATTAAAATAAACTACAGTATATTAATAAATGCAAACCAGAAATACATAATTAACTAATAATTAAATCAGAAAGTTAAAAATCTTCATTTTTCCAATTTATAGTGACATAATTATATATATAACTTCTATAAAATCCTTAAAAAGTAAGAAATTATATCTTTTCACAAACTACTAAAGAAATAATTAAAAGTCTACCTAAGGCAGTTACTACAGTTTACATGCATGTCTCACCTTTCATCATAAGTCCTGAAAGCAATGTACTAATTTTACTTCAACAAAAATATGTTACCTATATAACTTTAACATCCAGTATATTGTGATCATTGAGAGGGTATTCATATATAAGTTGCCTTAATTTTTTTCAACTTCATTTACATGTAATTATTTCCCATGTACAGTAGACGACTACTTTATCCATGTGGGATTAATTTAGAATATTTACGAGGTCACAAACATTCTGCGGAATTTGTCACAGCATACTTAAAGTACATAAAAAACATACAGTGGTAATCCAAGAAATTCCTGTAATTTTCTATCCATGGATGAAACAGAAATTGTAATTCCATGGAATTATGACGTACCCCATGGAAAAAAGTACATATACTGTTATCCATTGTAAAACTTTGGACACCTCTTGTTGCTTCTCTTGTTGCCATCCAAATTTAGTCAAATTGTGCCAATATTAAATTTTCTTGTTTCAAACAAAAACAATATTTTTGAAGTTGTTGATGCACAAATATCTCAAAGAATAAATGTACACTAAACTTCCAAAAAACTTGTTATCACGAAAATTTATGTCACCAAGTTTAAAGGTATGTGAACATCAGTCAACATATACAGGGTTTCAATAGCTCAGTGGCAATGGTATGCCATCTGCCCTGGGTTCGAGTCCCAGTTCAGACTTGATTTTTTACCACCTGTGACATTTGGCACTCAACGTACAAATACCCACTATTCCCTAGGAACATACTCACACATTCCTTAACTCACAGAATTTGTGAACAAATTTCTACAGAGAAAGGGAACATGTCACCGGGTTTACAGGTGTGTGAGTATCAGTCAATGTATTGGGTCTCAATAGCTCAAGGGTTAGAGCGCTGGCATGTTATGCCACTCGCTCTAGTTTCGTTTTTCAGCACCTGTGACATCATTATAAGGTATTTTGAGACATAAAAGTATTGAGGAGAATCTCATAAAACACAAGTGTCACTAATCCACAGAAAATTGTTTCTTTGTTGGACAAATCTAATTCAGATTACAGAAGTCAAACATGAAAAATACTTCGACATTTAAAAAATTAATGAAAAGGCTCTTCTAGAATAGAATATATTAAATTATATATTAAAAATTAATTAATTAATTATTACTGCTATATTAAATGAAAATTCTTACCATCTCATTTCACAAAAAATACGGTGAATTACTAAAATCCATTACCCTGAAATCCTATAGTCTAAAGTACCCGATATTTCATTTTCTTATGATACAGGTACGTCTGTTGAAATACCTGTCTATCTTTAATATACCAGCTTAATTGAATACAAATCTTTGCATCAGAACTATCAATGATACCATATTCTTCTACATACTTTATAAATCAATAAATAATTCCTAACAATTTCAGATAGCTGTGGATTTTTTAATTGCTGAATTATCTTTGTTGTGAAATACATACATTACGCTGACTTAGGTTATATTGATACCGTACGGATCCTGGGCAAAATTTCATTGTTAGCAATTTATATTTATATTCACATCCTTCATCCGAGTAGTTTTTTTTTTTTTTTTTCAGGCAAGTTGACATGCATTAGTTAAATTAGTGATGATGTTTTCTTCATTTTTAAGCATGAATTATTCACTGCTGTAGGCTCAATTTAACTGATTTTGGATGTTGCCCATCCTAGTCTTGGAGCAATAATAAATGTTTATACAACCCAAGTACACTCCTAAGTGAAATAAGATGCATACAACTTATATGTCACCTTTTACTTGTGCAAGTTTCATTTTTTAGTCTAATTATTATCTCTTTGTCTGCTCTTCATATGTCACTTCTTCATTAGAGTTTAGTAACACTGATTAAGTGCAGAGTTGCTTCATTAAGATTTACAATCTCAGTCAATGCTAAAGTCTTGTTAATTATGAATTTTCACAATAATACACAGTGATGCACTTCATATATTTATGGTCAAGTGACTGTGATGCATTAATTTTCAATTTTGAAGTATGGCTGACAGGGCTCTCACTTCTACATTTAAGACTGTGGCATATGACATTAGGGAAAAGTTGCAACATTAAGTCCAAAATCAGGAATGTACACTGTAATGTTAAAATAACACTAGCAGGGCTCTCAAACCACCTTTTGGTACAGGGGCCGGGGCCATTAAAATCAGGAAAATTACCATCATTTTGGGAAATATAAAAATCAACATATAAAAAAAGATCAATTAAAAAACAAGAGGCCCATGGGCCACATCGCTCACCTGAGCACATTGGCTTGGCAAAAGCACAAATCAGTTCAGTATTGAAAAGATTACAGGGGGGGGGGGGGGCTTGAATTTTAAACTACCTGATGATGCTTCCATGTCAATATAACAAATGGCTTTGTTGTACTTGAGAAGATTTTAAAAAAAATTTCCTATATATTCCTATGTAAAAATTTGATCCCCCATTGTGGCTCCTCCCTATCCCAGGGGTCATCATTTGAACAAACTTGAATCTACACTACCTGAGGATACTTCCATATCAATATGACTAAACATAGCTTTTCTGTTTTTGAGAAGAAATATTTTTACTATATGTTCTTATGTAAAATTTTTGATCCTGCATTGTGGCCCGACCTTATCCCCGGGGGTCATCATTTTAACAAACTTGAATCTACACTACCTGAGGATGCTTCCATATCAAAATGACTAATCATGGCTTTGCAGTTCTTCAGAAGAAGAAATTTTCCTATATATTTCTATTTAAGACTTTGATCCTCCATTGTGGCCCCACCTAACCCCCGGGGTCATGATTTGATCAAAATAGAATCTACACTACCTGAGGACGCTTCCATATAAATATGATCAATCAGGGCTTTGCTGTTTCTGAGAAGAAGATTTTTAAAGATTTTTCCTATATATTTCTATGTAAAACTTTGATAGTCCATTGTGGCCCCGCCCTACACCCAGGGGTCATGATTTGAACAAACTTGAATCTACACTACCTGAGGATGTTTCCATATAAATATGACTCATCATGGCTTTCCTGTTTTTGAGAAGAAGATTTTTAAAGGTTTTTCCTATATATTTCTATGTAAAACTTTGATCCTCCATTGTGGCCCCGGCCTACCCCCAGGGGTCATGATTTGAACAAAATTGAATCTACACTACCTGAGGATGCTTCCACATGAGTTTCATCTTTCCTGGCCCTCTGGTTCTTGAGAAGAAGATTTTTAAAAGATGCTATTAATTTTTCACTAATTCTTTATTATCTCCCCTTGAAAGAGGGCGTGGCCCTTCATTTGAACAAACTTGAATCCCCTTCACCCAAGGATACTTTGTAGCAAGTTTGGTTGAAATTGGCCCAGTAGTTCTGGAGAAGAAGATGAAATTGTGAAAAGTTTACAATGACGACACCGACGACAATGACAACAACGGACAAATTTTGATCAGAAAAGCTCACTTGAGCCTTTGGCTCAGGTGAGCTAAAAATCATCACATTTTACATTTGTGTTTTGTTATCAACTGTATTGTCAGATTGTTGAATGGGGGGGGTTGGGGGGGGGGTTATACCCATTCTGCATTGAGAACACTACGGCCATTCATTTGCCTCAGTGCAATCATAAACAGTTGTTAGCCCTGACTAGGTGTTCCAAGGAACACAACTTTCTCCAGATACAAAGTCTTTGTTGAATAAGTATTAAAGAATGATTTTTGTGACAGATGAATAAAGCACTGCTTTTGGTAAGATTTCCATCATATGTGAAAAAATGGACAAGTATGAATTTCAAACTAGGATTTGAGCTTCACATCAATTACTGCAGCCGAGAGCCCTGTTTGGTCTGAATGTTAGGTTGCCTTTGAGATTTTCTCACTTCACTGCACTGAATGGGACAAAGATTGATTTTATATCATATTAGAACAAGTTAATCCATAGTTTGGACTTTCAAGTGTTGTGGACAATGAGATTGATATAAGCCTGGTCTATTTATCTAATGTAGAAAACAATAAATTCTTCAATTGTATTCTGTGATGTTAACTACCTTTCCAGTTGCAAGACTACATAATCTAATGCGAGATGAACTGTTCAACAGTTTGGTGTGATGCAAGCATGTCATTGCCCACTGAAAGTCAAAACTACCAAGGAATTTGTATTATCATTTTATCATTCATTTTCAATACATCAATATTGAAGTGGTCATTCTCATTTTTTTAAACACTAATTCTGGCTAATGTATAATATATTTACTGACAGCATTATGAATTCCTTTAAACTATTTCCTAACATGCAAGATATGACAGGTATAAGTTGGGAAGAGTGGGTAATATATGTTTTGACTAGCCACAAGCATAAAGGGATACCTGTTTCAGACTATTATCTGTAAATATAGGTGGACATATTATGGACATTCATTCAGCAATAAACAACTTCATGCAATGCGTTCATACAAGAATATGCAGGAATATTCCAACTTTTGGACTTACCAGGCATCATATATCCGGGAATCTTGCTTGGGAGACGGGGATAATCCTTAACAGGTGGTAACTCACGTAAAAGGGCACCTACAACAAATTACGATTTTAGTTGAAAAACTACCATCATTAAATTTAGCACTTTTACATGTAATCAGAATATAAGGAGAACCCAACCTGCTTACATATATTTTTGGGCATTTCCAACATCAGAAAAACACTTCAATGTATTACGAAGGCATCCATCACAACCCCCCTTTTCATGAACATTGAAATAAATGTAGGGAGACCTTATATCTATAGAGTCTGGAGCTAAGTGTCATTGAATGTAATAATGATATAACCCAAAATATTCTACAGAAGGTATAATCAACTCTGTCTATCCAATATTTCAATAAACAGGAAGCGACTCCATTTTGTGTAAAAATTTTAACATTCAGTGATGTAAAACATTTGAGGGTTTTCCCCAAGATCTGTTGGAAAGGCCCAAGAAGAAGGAATTGGACATTTTGTAAGTGAATTTAAGGGTAAACGTAAACTGGGAGGACTTCATTTTTTCCTCACCATCTCCAAACTCTCCACTCCCCTTCCTCATGTTTTCCTCTCTACGCTTTTTCTGCACTTCCCTGGCATCATGCCAGCTGTGCAGGAATTGTCTGGAGGTTTCACTTATTTCTTTTCCATCTAGGACTTCTGGTAAATATAAATAAAAATACATCAATATTTTGTACATTTATCGAAATATAATACTTATGTAACTTAGGAATATACTTATTGTTGTCGATAATCAGAATCAGGAACTTACCAAGATTTTTGGCCATTACAATGACCCTGTCTCTGTATTTTGCTTTGTGACAGAGAGGATTTCCCATAAGGTCTAACCTCCACAGTCTAAACATGCCTCCAATAACATGTGCAAGCTCTTTCATATCTGTCAGTAAATTGTCATTTGCATGTAACTGATACAAATTGCGTAAGCATTCAATGTCTCTAATGCTATCCAAGTTATTTCCAGCAATGTTGAGGACTTGTAGCGAACTCTGAAAGGAAAATTGGCACAATTCTTTTAACAAGAAAATATCAGTGTGAAAATTTCAATCTCATGGTTGTGTCTTGAATATGGTTACCATAGGGCCATTTGCCCTCTTGCTTACAGCTTGGGGGCAAAGATGCAAGGGAACAGCATAAGAAAGTGACTGAGCAAGAATACTAAGTGGAGAGGGTAAAGGAGTACCGTATATATTTGCCTATAAGTCCGTTTTTTGGGAGTTAAACTTTGGTCAAAAATTCTATGTCCGACTTATAGGCGAGTTATAAAAAGATTGGTATTTTAGAGGGTCAAACCCTCTAAAGCCAAAAAAAATAATAGTCTTGTTTCCTGCTTCCCGACCTACCACATTTTTTTGCACCCGACCCTAAAGTTTTTTTTTAATTTTAGAAGAAAAAAATTGGGAATTTCCGGAATTTCATTGTTCTGTCACCTTAATCGGTTTCCGTGTTAACACAAAACAAGTATTTAATGAAATTCTTGTTTTAAATATGGACTTTCATAAAATACCACTTGCTTTGTGCATAAAAAGACATGAAATTTAATTTTGAAAGACAATATTCACCTGTGACATGTTTAATTTTATCTTGTATTAGTTCATATCCAAAAAATGTCAAAAAAAATAAAATAAAAAAATGAAATAAAATAATTTTCCTAACTACCTACCCTATTTTTTTCAAGCTGGTAGCAGGAAACAAGACTATTATTTTTTTTGGCCTAATATAAGCTTAAAAAATACAACCGACTTATAGGCGGACCGACTTATAGGCGAGTATACACGGTAAGTACCTAAAGTTGAAAAATCACCTTTGCATTTACAATCCTCCATTCTCTTATTGTTTCCCTCACTTTCTTGGGGTGTCCCCCCCCCCCTTTGCCTTTTTGTACTCATACAAGATGTTACCCTCATATTTGCAACCCAAAACTGTATAACCCTGCAGAATCAGTTTGTTCATGGCAAGGAGTCCATCATTACTAGGATCTTATGCAAAGATATGAAAACATGAAATAGGCCCTTTATCAGTAGGCAGTTACATGATCATCTGATCACTTACAGAAATGACCCGCATGGTTCGAGGATCAAACAGGAGTTTTTCTCCTGGTGGCATCCTCTGGTTCTCTATGTGTAATTCCTGGAGGTTCTCCAGTTTGTCTAACCCCTCTATCACCGTGATACAATTACCACCTAGATATCTGGAACAGAATTAAAATTAATTACTATCATATCACAATTGTAAACATATCTTTAAATATTTTGTGAAAGTCAGAAAACTAGAACACAGTTATTTTCTCTACAATTGTTCTATTCTTACAACTGTAATATAACTACCATCTAGATATCTCAGAATTTAAAATTATTTTTAAACTACAATGGTAAACATATCTGTAAACTTTTCTGAAAGTCTGAAAACTAGAAATAGTAACTATATTTATGCATATACTAATCTTACAATCCACTATCAACAATTGATTCTCTACTGCCATTTTTTAGAGGACACTTACTCTGAAAGAACTTTTAGAAACCCAACCAATATTTTTCCAAAGAAATTTAACTTACTTCTGCAACCCAACCACCTTTATCACTTTGTCAGTGGCAACATTGTGAGGGTAAACATCTAAACTTTATTTCAATATTCTTATTTGATTATTTGAAGAATCACATATTTAAATATAAAGTTTTCTGAATATCTGTAGTGTACATATGATAAAGCAGTCAATATTTTTATTGCAAATTATGTCTTGGAAATTCTTTTGTTTTAATATCATTATGATGGTACTTTTTAAAGCAATGGATAAGGTTGGTATTGCTTAATAATTCTGAAACTTTATGAGATGAATTTATGAAACAGCAGTACATGTTTTATCTTTATATTAAAATTTTGTTTTATTATTTTAACCTGCAAACAACCAGTTTGGTGTGGCTCCCAAAGTGGCCTCTAAGATCAATTCTATATTAATCTGATTATTGTTGTTTTAGGTCATCCAACCCCAACCCCCACCCAACCACACAAGGGTTTGACACTAAGAGGCACATTCAACAAACCCAGTCTAGTAAATGATTGGTCTGCTTGTGTTGTGAAATGTATATGTGAACTAGACCGATTGGTCAGGTGGATAAAATAAATGTAAACCTCAGTCTTTCAAAATAAATATTCTAACAACTTTTAAAGATTTTTTTTATTTTGTTGAATGTAAACACTGAGCAATAGCTATGTAAACATGGTAAAGGAAAATTTTCCAGCATGACACGATTGCTATTTTTATCCATGGCTGTAATAAACAAGTCATGTTCAAAACTAGCTTCGTATATTTTTTATTAGCATAAACAGATGCCTAATAATGTTCTCTTTAATTAGTTGATAAATATTTAGATTGATATAATTTTACTTCAGTTCATTGGAATGATTTTTTAATATTATAATACTTAAAAACACTTAATTATAATATTATATATTCACATATCCCAATTAACCTAACTCAACTGGCAGTGCCTTATTTATCAGAAGTCTGTTAAAATGTTGACAAAAATGGTAAAAGATGTCTTTTTAAAAATATGGTTTCTAAAGTAATTTCATTAATTGTAAATTTGCAAGTTAGGTTAGAGCTAGTGGTTTTATGGTTAGTAGTAGTAAAATTTATTGTAAGTAGCCATCTGGTCTAGTACTCATAAAAACTGATGTCAAACCCTGCTCTTTTTCTTACAGTTTGGTCAGCCTTGTTAGAGGTGACAGGTTCTCTATTTTATGAATGTCATTGTTCTGCAGGTATAGCATGGTCAAATGCTGGTTATGATGTAGGACTGGGATCTTCAATAGTTGATTATCATACAAATACAGCACAGTCAAGTTCCTACACATAGATAAATCTTCCCCCTGAAATACATTTTCAAGAAAAATATTATTTTTAAATTGTATTAAAAATACAGCTATAGCTGACATTTTGTACGTATAAGAAATGTTTGACCACTAAATGGAAATTTTTTTTAATTACCACTTCATCAATGGATCTGTCTTCTAAATATAGATGAGTAAGACGTTTCAGATACTGTTGCATGGATTCATCTCGTTTCTTCTTGGTGTACCCTGAGGTACCCCTTGCAATTAGGTCTATTGTCAATTTCACCATTATGGAATACTAGTCATTGTCCCCTGTGCTCCTCAGGTTTGATGTTGAATTCTTTAATGCGTGTCATATTCCTAAATGGGATAAAGTTATTTAGAGAGACAGGCACACACATGGCCAATAGGATAAAATGTGTGAACTTTCATTTTATTGTTTGTAAACATGCAAACATTACAAAGGAAAAAAAGCAATTTACTCTAATATTCTTTTTATATTCCCAAAAAAATGTTATTATATTTATTGTTTATCTACTCTGGAGATATAGACGAATATTTTCATTATTTACATTAACTTTTCAATATTTTGACAGAAGAGCATAGTCCGTTGCTACGTGTTGTTGCTATCTAATTTTAAATTTATATGACTATCAAACCTTCGTTTACTACAATTTTTCACAGTTAAATCATGATAATATTAAAAATACTCATGTTAGAGTGCTTATGTCTTTCAAAAGCAATAATACATTCTAACCTTTTCCTTCTATCCTTGGCACTCACAGCAGTCAAAGACAAGCGTTCACATGATGACAAAAGCATGCTAGGTCCGCACAAATGGGTAAGTTTTTTTTTTAATATCAAATATGCCTAAATCTTTTTATAAAACATGAAAATGAAATACCTGTACAACTGCTATGTAGCAGGCATATCACAGTAAATAAAGATGTATATCTTAATATTGTATTATTTGGTACTAAAAAAAAAAAAACGGAATCGACCGTAGTTTGCCGAACGGGATTTATTTTAGACTGGTTCTCTGCCAAGTGAGTTGATCTTGAACTAGACACTCATTCCGAAAGTCTCATGAAAGCAAATGATGATTTATCCGAGGATTGTCAAATGAGAAGTCGCCGTAGTCTTACCCACTTCGTTATCGGTAATTGAGACAGTTGAGTGTCTGGTTGAGCAAGACTACGGAGATTTGCAAGGTACAGGGAACCAGGCTAAGCGAGCGCTAAAAAAGAGAAAGGCTAGAGGTGTTCCGGATTATCACAACGCATGCCCATTGCATATTTCGAGATCATTTCCTTTTCAAGTTCATTCTCGCATACTTACAAAAAAAATTAAACCTTTTGATATTTTTTTGTGTTTTGAAACACACTTAAAAAGTTAACTCATAACGAGTGTACAAAACGTGTTCTTGATAAATATGATGGCGATGGTTTGACAGCAACCCAAAACATGTAAACAAATCGAAGAAAACACAGGTTGCTATAAACGCCATAATCTGAAACGGAGAGAAAGAGAGCATAATATTCAGGTATTTAATCAAATATCTAACAGAGCTAGTTTTGTTTATCCATTTAGTTTAAATAACGCATATAGTTTAATCAAAAGAAGTAAAAACCTCTGCCAAGTTGATATTCATAATAAGAAATATGCAATTCTTTTAATAAAAATTAAAGGCTTTATACAAAACTGTGTAAAATAGTGTAACCAAACATCTATTCCATCACTGAGTAATGATGCTAGCAATTATAGTTTTCTTTGTTAAAGCTTTGTAACAACTCACCCAGAGATACTATGCACACAAAGTGGTTTACAGTGAGCAAATAAAAGATTTTTTTTTCATAAAATGTAAATAATATACTGACAGTCCAAAGAAATACCAACCATGTGTCATGTTACTCAAGCCTCAGAAACAAGCCTTCTTTAGACCTCCCACATATTTTGGTTTCTTTCTTCTTTGTCAGATGGTCAGTATCAAATCCTTATCAGGTCCAGTACAATCTCTTGATTTACAGGGGCGTAGCTTGCCTTTAAATTCTAGTGAGGCAAAACCATAGCAGCAAGAGGTCTTGGGCCGCCTTCGGCTCCCAGTAGGTCCAGGGTGAAGGGGGGGTCACTCCGATAGAAAATGGAGTTGGAAGTTTTAAATTGCAATAGTTTCATTTGTTGTACTGGTTTCTTTATTTAAGACTTCAGCGTGATACTACATATTGTAAAAGAATTTTAAAAAGTTAATGAATATGTTTACTAAAACTTTTATAACATTTAAAGATGAAAACGCATCTTATTAACTTTGTTTTTATTTCTTTAAAACTTCAATTCAACAATATAGAACTGCTTAAAATGTTGCAAGAAATGCTTTACTTTTACATATTTTCTGCAATGTATTGTTGATTATTGGATCGGGTGGGGGTGGTGAAAAATCAAGTGAGGCAGTTGCCTCATTGCCACAATGGAAGCTACGCTCCTGATTTAGCTATATAGTTTGAATTAGCTATATAACTTTATTAAGCTATTCAGAATAGCTTGACAAAGCTATTTATATGCAGTTTTTCACAGAAGTGTTTTTTGTAAGAAATAGATAAAAAGTCTCAGGTTTTTGATTTTTCATATTTGTTCTATGGACTATCAAATAAGCAACCCAAATCAAAGACAGCTCTAACATTACAGCATTTGAATTACTTACTTACTTACTTATGCCTGCTACCCCTTTTGGGGCATAGGCTGCAGACAAGATTCCTCCAGGCCCCTCTATCCTGAGCAGTGCTTTCAACCTCCTTCCAGTTCTTGCCCATTCTTTTAATGTCTGCCTCTAGATCTCTCCGCCTGGTGTTCTTTGGCCTACCTCTCCTACGTTTTCCTTGGGGGTTCCAGGATAGGGCTTGCCTTGTGATGTTATTGTTGGGCTTGCGTAGAGTATGCCCTATCCACCTCCACCTTCTCTGCATTATTTCCTCTTCTATAGGGGCTTGGTTTGTTCTTTGCCACAAATTGATGTTGCTGATTTTGTCGGGCCATCTGATCTGGAGGATGCGTCTCAGACAAGAGTTGACAAATGTCTGGATCCTGTTTGTTGTGGTAACAGTCATCCTCCATGTCTCGGAACCATATAGAAGCACTGCCTTAACATTGCTGTTAAAAAGCCTAACTTTGGTGCGTGTTGTAATTCCCTTGGTCTTCCAGATGTTTCCAAGTTGCAGGAATGCTACTCTGGCTTTTCCTATTCTTGCTTTGATGTCTGTTTCCGTTCCTCCTTGTTGGTCCACGATACTGCCAAGGTAGGTGAAATGTTCTACTTCCTCTATTTTCTTTCCTTCTATATTTTATGAAGCATGTGATGGTGTGTTTGCTCTTAGGATCTTTGTTTTTGCAATATTGATGTTGAGTCCTATCCGTGCTGATGTTTCTGCCACAGTTGTAATTTTCTCCTGCATTTGTGCCCGGGTATGTGATAGGAGTGCCAAATCATCTGCAAAGTCTAGGTCGTCTAACTGTGACCATGGTGTCCACTGTATTCCATTTCTCCTATTGTCGGTGGATGATTTCATTATCCAGTCTATTGCAAGAAGAAATAGAAAGGGAGACAGTAGACATCCCTGACGAACTCCTGTTTTTACTTCGAATGGTTCCGTCAGTTGTCCTCCATGTATGACCCTGCATGTCAGGTGTTCATAAGAGTTGCGGATGATATTTACCAGTTTACAAGGAACTCCATAATGTCGCAGAAGTTTCCATATTGTCTCCCTGTCAACACTGTCAAAGGCTTTCTCGTAATCTATGAAGCCTACATAGAGGGAGGAGTTCCATTCAGCACATTGTTCGATGATAATGCGCAACGTTGCTATCTGGTCCGTACAAGATCTATTTTTACGAAATCCAGCTTGTTGGTCACGTAGCTTATCATCCACTTCTTCTTTCATTCTGTTCAGTATGATCCTATTAAATACCTTCCCTGGAACATCTAACAGTGTTATTCCCCTATAGTTGGCACAATCGCTGAGGTCTCCTTTTTTTGGAAGCTTGATGAGGTATCCTTCTTTCCATTCTTCTGGGATTGTTTCTACTTCCCATATTTTTTGAAAAAGTGGGTGAAGTATGTCGGCTGAGTTGTCAAAATCAGCTTTAAGTGCCTCGGCCGGGATATTATCAGGCCCTGCTGACTTGCCATTCCTCATCTGTTTTAAGGCTATTTTTATTTCCTCCTTAGTAGGTGGTCCCCAGTCTATGTCTAGGTCCTCATCTGCTGGTGTAATATTAGGAGGGTTGGGTGGAACTGGCCTATTCAACAATTCTTCAAAATGCTCTTTCCATCTCCTTCTTTGTTCTTCTTCCCCTTCTAGTTGCTTCCCTGCCTTGTCTTTCACTGGCCTTTCTTGTTTACTTCGCTTCCCAGCTAGTTTCTTGGTGATGTCATACAAGTCTTTCATGTTTCCTGCTTTTGCAGCTTGTTCTGCTTCCATTGCTAGTTCCTCCATGTACCTTCTTTTGTCAGCTTTAATACTTTGTTTAGTTCTCTTGTTGGCCTCTGCATACTCTTTTTGTGCTTTTGCTTTTTCAGCTCTTGTTCTGCTTGAATTGATCTCAGCCTTCTTAGCCTTCCTCTCCTGTACTTTCCTAAGTGTGTCATTTGTGATCCACTCTTTATGATGGTACTTTTTCACTCCAAGTATTTCATGGCAGCTTGTTGTGATGGTCTCTTTTATCCCTTTCCAATGGTCTTCAACTGTTGTTACTTCCCCTATTTCCTGAAGTGCTTGGTATTTGTTTTTAACCGCAGTCTTATACTCCTGTAAGATTTGGGTATCTTGGAGAAACCTGGTGTTATATCTGATTCTCTGAGAGTTTCCTTCTGTTTTCATTTTTCTGAGCTTCAGTTTGATGCTGCCTGTCAATAGATGGTGATCTGAGGCTACATCTGCTGCTCGTTTGACCCTGGTATCCTGCAAAGATCTTCTAAACTTTTTATTGATGCATATATGATCTATCTGGTTTTCAGTTAATTGGTCTGGTGATACCCAGGTGGCTTTGTGTATTCTTTTGTGCTGGAATAAAGTGCCACCAATAACTAGTTTGTTAAATGCACAAAAGTTTGCTAATCTTTCACCATTTTCATTCATTTGTCCCAGTCCATGTTGTCCCATGATCTCACCATATCCGGTGTTATCATTTCCAATTTTTGCGTTAAGGTCTCCCATCATGATGGTAACATTTCTTTCTCTACAGGTGTCAATAACACTTTGGAGTCTGTTGTAGAACTCATCTTTTGCTTCTTCCTCTGCATCATTTGTTGGGGCATAGCACTGGATAATGTTTGTGCTAATCCGTTTATGTTTTGTTTTAAAAGATGCCCTTATAATCCTTGGTCCATGTGCTTCCCAGCCTATTAATGCCTCCCTTGCTGTTTTGGATAGCATGAGTGCCACTCCTTGAGAGTGCGATGAATTTTCTTCTTCATGTCCAGAATAGAGGAGTAATTCACCTGTAGTAAGTCTGCACTGTCCTGATTGAATCCATCTTGTCTCACTTATGCCGAGCAGTGTCAGATTGTAATTTCTCATCTCTGCTGCAATTTGCGCTGTTTTCCCTGCTTCGTACATGGTTCTTACGTTCCAAGTTCCTATATTGATATTTCTGGGTCCGAGAAGGGTTTTCGGCCTTGTAGTTTCCTTCTGTCTCTGGTTTTCACCACATGGCGTCCTTCGTCTTCCTTTTGGAGAACCTTTTCTTCCAGAATTTGAGAAGTCTTGATTAAATCTTGTATGCGTTTCTGTAGCAATTGCCTTTTTACATGGCGGGTTGCTAACCCTGCGCAAAACCCCCTGGACCCGGAGGACCGGTGGTTTTCTGTTGGGGTTTTCCTTCCCCTAGTCACAGATTCCAGTTATTTAAAGGCGCTGGAGACTCGCCTCTTGCCACTGTCACTCAGCTACCTAAGTATTTCCAGGGCCACCAACGGGGAGGTGTGACATGTGACTTGCTGGCAGAACCTATTTGAGACGGTAGGCATTAACTCGAAGTTTTGATAGTGTAACTTAGTGACATCAGTTACACCCCTCGAGACCTTCACCAGCCTTTGACCCCACAGCATTTGAATACTTTCAAGCAAAAGGCGAATTTCAATTGTTTGGATAACTTTGCACCACCTTGTGTGCATTGAGGTGTGGATAAGTTTCACATTGTGCTGAATTATTACCAATCAATTATCTTGTTGACCGTAATTGACCTCCTTTATAATTTCATTCAACAAGTAACTGTAAGGTCACAAATCAATGGCTTTATATAACCTCAAAACTTTAAGAACTGAGAATTTAAAGTCTCTGAAGGAGACACAGTTTGATGAGCAATGTTTACATGGATTTCAAGCTTGAATTCTATCACTGCACTAAAATACAACTTTTTGTACATGCTGAAAAAAACACATTTAAGGAAAAAGTCTGATAGAATAGCTAAATCAAGCTATTCTGAATAGCTAAATAAAGCTATATAGCTAATTCAAACTGTATAGCTAAATCAAGAGATTGTGCTGGACCTGCTTATAACTGATTCATTTTGCTGATGACCAGAATAAAGTTGTTAATAATTGTATTCATGCATTCTTTGCTCATACATGTATGTGCAAATTTCCTTTAACTTATGTTGTTATTAATCAATCACTTCATAAATTAAAAGGAGTTTACTTAAAAAGTAAATATTTCCAATAAAAAAAAATTGAACCATGGTATTTTTTTGTTACAGTTGCCCTTTTATCATTTTTTTTCTTTTTACATTTTATTTTGTCATCTGAATCACAGTCCATAGAACTTTTGTCAACAATCAATGAATGAAAAAAGTGACATTTTAGTCTTAGGTGAAATAAAAACTATAAAACATTATTGAGTTCATCTCCTGGGCATTTGGTCCATTTAGATTCAAACTAGCTTAGCTGGAATGCATTTTGTTAAAGAGGGAATCAGGTTTTCAGATGAAGTACAAGCTAGATTTAAGAAATACAGAGAAATAATCAAATCAAAACATTTTTATCAATAAATAACACTCAATGACATGATGAAACAAGATTTTTTTTAAACAAAAGTGGAAAAATACACCAGAATAAAATTTTTTATTTAATATTTCTTATCAATCTGTTGTAACATTGATAAGTCTGATATTAATTTAATGTAATATGGGTTTACATGTACAATTTGTATTTACTTTAGTCTTTCAAAAGTTTGACTAATGAGTTCATTTAAGGAGGAATAACACTCAATGAAATGCTACTGTGGATGGAAATTATTAAAATCTTGTAGATGTGTATAAGGCTTTAATGATAAATTTTTTAAATGTATTTTCATGGATGCTAAAGAAAAAATTAAACTTATTATAACTCACAAACTCCTGATCTTAGCTAATGGTTTAAACCAGTGAGCTTCCTAGATCATGCTAGATAGACAATGGTACTGAAAATGACAATTTCAGAAATTTACAATGTTATATTTCCTTCTGAAAAGGAAAGGATAATGAAAGACTGTCATAGGCTATGTTAATCCTCTTTTGAATATGTTTCATCTTTGGGTAATGCCACGGAAGGTTAGATGTACCTTAATTTGGTGCATGAATACACATGTCATATTGGCATTTCCTTACAAATCTGTGAGAGTTAAAGTAACAAAAGATAGAATACATGCACCTTTCAACTTTGATTGAAAGTTAAGAAAAGTCACACACATTATATGTATATTTGTAAAAATATATGTATATTTGTAAAGATTGATACAGAATTTGAGTTCAACTCATGTATATAGAAGTGCTTAGTAATGATATTTTTCTCTAAAAAAGGGAAAATTATACAAGCTATATAATCTAATTGCAGGGAGAATGGCAGCTGCTGTTGAAAATGACATAGAAGAATTTATTCAAAATCAGAAAGCTAAACTGCAACAGGAAAGGCAGTATCTGTCGGTAAGATTGTTTGTAGATTTGAGAACTTGGATTGTTATTTTAAAGAATTGTATGTCTAGATAACCTTACAAGCTAACAGCAATGAATTTTATGATGCTATAATTTCTATGAATGAAGTCTTGAGGTGTGGTCTTTTATCTGCATGCTTACATAGTAAACTGGTGTTGAGTAGGCTACCTAATGTTTAAATCAGTTGCTTTAAAAATCATATAAACTGGTTCATTCATTCATTCATTCAGAGATGTGTTCATACATATCACAACTGAAGAAATGAAATGTATATATTTTGTATACATTTTATGTGTATAGTATTCTATATACATGCATATGTACATGGGATTGAGTCAGTGAAAAATGTAACAAATTTCAGTTTTGTAGAGTTTGCAGTCATATTCTAGTCACTATTATGATACTAATGTCATTCGTTAGCTAGACTTATAGAGTAATAGTCACTACAGACTTTTATTTTCAAAAATCATGCTATATAGTTCAACAACAATTCAACAATTACTATCAGGCACTAGTAGAGGTTTTCAATATGAAATTTTAAGTCCTAACTGTTCATTGCATCAATTTTAGCTAATTGTGTAACAACATGCAGAACTGAACATCTTGTTTAGTGGGACTTAAAAGGGTCATTATAATGATTAAATAGGGAATCTCACTTAATGTAAATCTCATTAATGATACATGTACCTGTACTCATTTTCCACTATGTAATTCATTAATATTTGCTTATAAATCCCTATAATTCATTTGAAATAATTATTATTCCCCAAAAAGCAGACATTAAATCCACCTTTTCAACCAGGATGGATCATTTGTTGGCCGGAGCTAACAGAAATATGTCAAAATCTTTGCTTTAGCCTGCAGAGCCAACCAACAAAATGATATATTAACTGTTTTTCTGTACTATTACGAAAGTTAACATTGGATCAAGGCTCCATCCACAGCATCACTGATTGACAGTTGACAGCAGATGTTAAAATAGTTCACCTATTTCCTTTGGCTTTGCCTATTAAAGGAATTAGATGAACTAGAATTTTTTTTAACTCTTTCAATGATACATTATTTAGATAATATTTCAGTTGCCTGAACTATTTATCGAGTCTCTGAATTAAATGATCATAAATTAAATTTGTGAATTGAAGTGTATTTTGTATTGATAAATGTGACACCACTGCAAACTCTTGTCCAGGAGGAGGAAAGAAATGATGAGAGGGTGGGACGTAGGCAATGGGACCGACCAATCGAAGCAAATTATGCTAATGAGGTAGGCAGAAAAATAAAGATTTTACGAATTTCCCTACTGATATAGGTTTAAATTATTGGAACAAAATGAAAAGATTCCTATAAAATGTGACATAATTAGAATTTGTTACAGTGGGGTTTGTTTTGTAAGTTGCAATCAGCTTAGATGGTAATGACAAATTTTGTTGACAAGCTGGTATCGATTCAAATAAAGCATTACAATTGCTTGGAAAGAAATATTAAATTTCAGAGGGCAAGATCTGATGGACTACCTCTTACAAATGAAAAAGCAATTTCTAAACAGCAACAATTGCGAGATGAGAGAAAAAGAGAATATAATGAATTTTTAAAAGAGAAACAGGTACAGAACTGCTAAGTTCTCTGCTCTTCTGCACAATTCACACTATATACATATATTACATTTTGTTTTCAGTGACAGTCTCTTAATAAACATTCAATTCTTTATATGTTTATTTCTATTAAAATTCTTGTTTTTAAAGAAAATATTCAGAATAATAATTTTTTTATTTATTTGGAATAAAGAGACACTTGTACATGTAATATTTACTGAAACGGGACCAAAACTGCATGATTTTCTTGTTGACCAATGATTAAAAAAGATAATATTGGTTTAGGCTTCATGTAATAATTGTGTGTAATACATAATTATACGTGTAGAGTAAGGCAGGCTCTAAAATAACTGGGAGTACTAGTAACAAAGTTCCAAATATTGCACAAAATAATGAACAAAAGGGAGAGACTTCTCAAAGAGACAAGGAATTCCCTGCTCAGAAAGAGGCTGATCCCGATAGCAGTAATATCCCTCAGGTGATTGTAGTAAAATGTTTTGGAGTTGAATGTTGCTGCATGGGTATTATATCATTTGTCACTGCATCGGAAGTGTATAGGGGAGTTAACTCTCATTGAAGCATGGTAGCATGTGTATTGCAGATGAGTACAATTTTTTTTGTTTTATTTATTTTTTGGGGCTTATTTTCTTGCAGCTATAGATTTTGTCCAAATTATCTAGAGGCATTGCTAAATACAGATGTACACCAATAAATTTCATATTAAACATTAGAAAAAGAGGAAACTTTTCGCATGAAATCATAAATTTATCATCATATTTATGCTAGCTAGTATATTTTGAATGTTGTTGTCTGTAGATAGTTGGTATCTGTCTTTTTTTATGTCCTGTATTACATGCTACTAAAAAAATTAACTTGCAAAATGTAGACATTTATTATATGTTTGTATATATACTTTAATTTCTTGTTTTGCTTTGATTTTTATTATTATGAATGATGTTTTAAACTGTCTTTAATTATATATGTATGTATTTTGCTGCTTCATTTTATTATTGTGGTGCTGCTTATTTGTGTTTAAATTCAAGTGTCATTTATATCTTGTCAGAATAGGTCTGATATATATTCATTTATTATTTTCAAATAAAATGATTAATTGATATATGAAGTATGGATTGTTTGATATATATTTTAAAAGAAATATGCTTAATTTTTCATCTCTTTGAAATGTTGAGTTTTTATCTTTCAATGAACAATGAGTCTTTAAATGAAAGATAAAAAAAAAGTTCTTACGTCTAATTTTGTTGACTAAAAAGCATCAGAAAGGAGGACATCAGTCAAGCCCCAGAAGACCTGAGATAGATTATAATGAAATTGAGCGCACTTTTCAAGAGCAAAGGAGGAGAGAATATAATGAATTTCTTAATCGGGTAAGTTCTGAACAAAGGTAGTCTACGTAAGTTCATTACAAAGGGATAAAATTGATTATACTCTCACTTCTGTATGGAGGGATAGAGAGTGCCCTATAGTCTTGCTTAGTTCTGTATGGAAGGATAGAAAGTGCCTTATAGTCTTGCTTAGTTCTGTATGGAGAGATAGAGAGTGCCTTATAGTCTTGCTTAGTTCTGTATGGAGGGATAGAGAGTGCCTTATAGTCTTACTTAGTTCTGTATGGAGGGATAGAGAGTGCCTTATAGTCTTACTAAGTTCTGTATGGAGGGATAGAGAGTGGCTTATAGTCTTACTAAGTTCTATATGGAGGGATAGAGAGTTGCTTATTGACTAAGTTCCGTATGGAGGGATAGAGAGTGCCTTATAGTCTTGCTTAGTTCTGTATGGAGGGATAGAGAGTGCCTTATAGTCTTACTAAGTTCTGTATGGAGGGATAGAGAGTGGCTTATAGACTTACTAATTCTCTGTGGAGTGATAGAGATTGACTTAAAGTCTTACTAAGTTCTGTATGGTGGGATAGAGAATGCCTTATAGACTAAGTTCTGTATGGAGGGATAGAGAGTGCCTTATAGTCTTACTAAGACTAAGTTCCGTATGGAGGGATAGAGAGTGCCTTATATTCTTACTAAGTTCTGTATGGAGGGATGGAGAGTGCCTTATATTCTTACTAATTCTCTGTGGAGGGATAGAGAGTGACTTATAGTCTTACTAAGTTCTGTATGGAGGGATAGAGAGTGCCTTATAGTCTTACTTAGTTCTGTATGGAGGGATAGAGAGTGGCTTATAGACTTACTAATTCTCTGTGGAGGGATAGAGAGTGACTTAAAGTCTTACTAAGTTCTGTATGGAGGGATAGAGAGTGCCTTATAGTCTTGCTTAGTTCTGTATGGAGGGATAGAGAGTGCCTTATAGTCTTACTAAGTTCTGTATGGAGAGATAGAGAGTGGCTTATAGTCTTACTAAGTTCTGTATGGAGGGATAGAGAGTGGCTTATTGACTAAGTTCCATATGGAGGGATAGAGAGTGCCTTATAGTCTTACTAAGATCTGTATGGAGGGATAGAGAGTGGCTTATAGTCTTACTTAGTTCTGTATGGAGGGATAGAGAGTGCCTTATAGACTTACTAATTCTCTGTGGAGGGATAGAGAGTGACTTAAAGTCTTACTAAGTTCTGTATGGAGGGATAGAGAGTGCCTTAAAGTCTTACTAAGTTCTGTATGGAGGGATGGAGAGTGCCTTATATTCTTACTAATTCTCTGTGGAGGGATAGAGAGTGACTTATAGTCTTACTAAGTTCTGTATGGAGGGATAGAGAGTGCCTTATAGTCTTACTTAGTTCTGTATGGAGGGATAGAGAGTGGCTTATAGACTTACTAATTCTCTGTGGAGGGATAGAGAGTGACTTAAAGTCTTACTAAGTTCTGTATGGAGGGATAGAGAGTGCCTTATAGTCTTGCTTAGTTCTGTATGGAGGGATAGAGAGTGCCTTAAAGTCTTACTAAGTTCTGTATGGAGAGATAGAGAGTGGCTTATAGTCTTACTAAGTTCTGTATGGAGGGATAGAGAGTGCCTTATAGTCTTACTTAGTTCTGTATGGTGGGATAGAGAGTGCCTTATAGACTAAGTTCTGTATGGAGGGATAGAGAGTGGCTTATAGTCTTACTAAGTTCTGTATGGAGGGATAGAGAGTGGCTTATTGACTAAGTTCCGTATGGAGGGATAGAGAGTGCCTTATAGTCTTACTAAGTTCTGTATGGAGGGATAGAGAGTGGCTTATAGACTTACTAATTCTCTGTGGAGGGATAGAGAGTGACTTAAAGTCTTACTAAGTTCTGTATGGTGGGATAGAGAGTGCCTTATAGACTAAGTTCTGTATGGAGGGATAGAGAGTGGCTGATAGTCTTACTAAGACTAAGTTCTGTATGGAGGGATAGAGAGTGCCTTATATTCTTACTAAGTTCTGTATGGAGGGATGGAGAGTGCCTTATATTTTTACTAATTCTCTGTGGAGGGATAGAGAGTGACTTATAGTCTTACTAAGTTCTGTATGGTGGGATAGAGATTTGCTTATGCAGGGTATGTATTTTTTTCTGCAAAAGCTGCAACATTAATGCCAATGTTAACGACCAAAAAAAAAGATTTTTTTGTTTAAATGAAAACTATTCAACTTTCTCATATTCTGACCTTGACCTTCCCTGTTATCTTGACCTCAATATTCTGTATTTTATGTTAGCTCAGTGTTAAAGCAATTATTGAAGATATTTTTATTCAAATTTTTACACTGATACATATCAGTGAGAGCTATTCAAGTGTGTCATATTTTTTGGACCTTTCTATGTTCTTGACTGTATTATTCCTTTTTTGTATTTGTTTCAAATAATTGTTTCAGATTTTTTTTCAAACTTCATAGATACCAATTGATAAGAGCTATTCAACTGTGTCATAGTTATCTGACCTTGACCTTACATATGACTTTGACCTCACTATTAATTGTTTTGCATTTAGTACAGTAAAAGAAGAAACTTCTCATAATAGTTTCATCAAGCTTCCTACACTTATACAATTTTGGAAAAACCTTTTACATAGTCATAACTTTCTGACTTTGACCTTCCTTGTGACCTTTACTTCTCTTTTCAAGATATTTTATTCAAACTGCATGTATACAAAGTTACATATTGGCCTTTCCAATGACCTTGACTCCACTATTCCTTCATTTTTCAGTTGCAATACAAATGTGCCTTGGGCAGGGCAATTATGTCTTAGAGACATATTTCTACCCATGGGTAGTTTTGATATGAGGTAGAAGGGCTGTAGTTTGATAAAGGGATAGAGGGGATGTTGTTTGATAAGGAATACAGAGGATGTAGTTTAATAATGGATTCAAGAAATGTTGTTTGGCAAGGGATACATGGGATGTTTTTTTTTTAATAAGGAATACAGGATATATTGTTTAAAAGGGTATACAGGAGATGTTGTTTGATTAACATGATAAAGATAGAGGGGATGTTGTTTGATAAGGGATAAAGGGATGGTTGTTTGATGAAGTATAGAGGGTTTAATATGTATGGAGATGTTGTTTGTAGAGGGATAGAGGGGATGATGTTTGTAGAGGGATATAGGGAAGGGGCTAAAAGGAATGCTATTTATGGATAGTGGTACAGTTGATTAAAAAAGAATTTATAGTAAATGTTTTTAGACAATTGATTAAGGAAATGATGTTTAATGAGGAATAGAGTCAGTGTTGTTTGATAAGGCATAAGGAGGGAATAGGTTTAAGAAATCAAGGGAATGTTGATTTGAAAGTATAAAAAAATTAAGAAATATTATTTGATTGTAAGGAAACTATCATTTACACAATTACTTATATTTTGTCCTTATGAGTCATTTTTATACCCCACGCAACAAGTTGCGTGAGGTATAATGTTTTTGACCCGTCCGTCCGTCAGTCAGTCAGTCAGTCAGTCAGTGTGTCAGTCAGTCAGTCAGTCCGTCAGTCCTGTTTTTTTGTCAGCGCAACTCCTCATAAACCGCTGCACAGAATTTCGTCAAACTTTGCAGATATTTAGGACACAATGTGTAGATGTGCATATTACCAGGAAATTCCGATTCCTTTAATTTTTCTCGGAATTTCGGCACTTTTCAACTTAGATTTTTGGCCATATCTTGAATATGGAGATGAACAGTTTGTCAGCGCAACTCCTCATAAACCAATGCACAGAATTTGGTCAAACTTTGCAGATATTTAGCACACAATGTATAGATGTGCATATTACCAGGAAATTCCGATTCCTTTATATTTTCTAGGAATTTCGGCACTTTTCAACTTAGATTTTTGGCCATATCTTCAATATAAAGATGAACAGTTTGTCAGCACAACTCCTCTTAAACCGCTGCACAGAATTTGGTCAAACTTTGCAGATATTTAGGACACAATGTGTAGATGTGCATATTACCAGGAAATTCCGATTCCATTATTTTTCTGGGAATTTCAGTACTTTTCAACTTAGATTTTTGGCCATATCTTGAATATAGAGATGAACAGTTTGTCAGCGCAACTCCTCTTAAACCGCTGCACAGAATTTGGTCACACTTTGCAGATATTTAGTACACAGTGTGTAGATGTGCATATTACCAGGAAATTCCGATTCCATATTTTTCTGGGAATTTTGGCACTTTTCAACTTAGGTTTTTGGCCATATCTTGAATATAGAGGTGAACAGTTTGTCAGCACAACTCCTATTAAACCGCTGCATAGAATTTGGTCAAACTTTGCAGATATTTAGCACACAATGTATAGATGTGCATATTACCAGGAAATTCCGATTCCTTTATATTTTCTAGGAATTTCGGCACTTTTCAACTTAGATTTTTGGCCATATCTTGAATATAAAGATGAACAGTTTGTCTGCGCAACTCCTCTTAAACCCCTGCACAGAATTTGGTCAATCTCTGCAGATATTTAGTACACAGTGTGTAGATGTGCATATTACCAGGAAATTCTGATTCCATTATTTTTTCTGGGAATTTCGGCACTTTTCAACTTAGGTTTTTGGCCATATCTTGAATATAGAGATGAACAGTTTGTCAGCACAACTCCTCTTAAACCGCTGCACAGAATTTGGACAAACTTTGCAGATATTTAGTACACAGTGTGTAGATGTGCATATTACCAGGAAATTCCGATTCCATTATTTTTGCCTTAAAAGTTTTGCCTTTTATTGAAGAAACTTTCCAGCTAGGTAATAAGAAACTCCACTGGAATCAGCTTTTTATAATGAAATTCTATGTGAAATATTTTATGACCTTAAAAGACCCCTATTGATTTTGAGATCAAAATATTAATGGTTTAACACAAACACACACTCACACACACACCATCTTCGATAGTTCCTGAAATTTTGTAGGTATTTCAGAATAATGTATAGATTTGTATATTACCAAGAAATTTTGATTCCATTATTTATCTAGAAACTTCAGCCCAGTTAAATTTGTAACATACAAAGATTTGAATGTCCTTATATGCAAGAAGTTTTGATGTGATGATTTTTTGCAAGTAATGCCCCTTTTTTGAATTATACTGTGTATTTAAAATGCACTGTGCCATTCATTACGTGTTGCATTGTCGAGTTTTGGGGAAGCGTGGGGTATGTGAGCTTGCTCACTTTTTCTTTCATTTAAAAAGAGTTTCATAACTGTTTTTTTTTTATATCTGGCATTGAAAATTATATATTTTTTGCAAAATTTTAATATTTTTTATACTTGTTTTGAAGAACTGCAGCCAAACCCTTTAATTAACAAGGGAAGAAAATCATGAGAACATGTACATAATTATAATATCTAGTAGAAACACAAACCCTTGTCTTTTTGCAAATGCATAAGAAGGAACAATTTTCTTTTCCTATTTTAGCCTAAATTTAAAAAAGCCCCAACACCTCCCCAATCAGGGATGAAATTTGGTGAGTTTGAAGATTTTAAAAAGAGGGTTGAACAGCAACGTAAAGAAGAGTATAGAGAGGAGTTAGAAAAGGTTAGAGCTCAGGACACAATGAATAGAATGGCCATGTTTCATGATAAATAAGAATGCTTTCATTTTAAGGCCATTACCTTTTGTAAAATCAAATTTTAACATAAAAATCCTTCTTTTGTAATGTAGTAGGATGGTATATGACTTTTTTAGCAAGCTTTAGAGCAGGCAATAACTAGGGCTAGAGGAAACTTGGACATAAGTATACCTAGACATGCTCAGCTTGTGTCTCCAGATTACAATCAGCTATCTCAGGAAAAACAGAGACGAGATCTCCGAGATAAAATGGTGGAAGAAAAGCGAATCAGAGAATTTGAGAGAATGTTACATGTGCATCATGATGACAAACATATAGAACAGGTAATCACCGTCACATTGTAAAAGAGAAATCTCTTAAGTGTATGGCAGGTTACCAGTAGGATGTTAAATTCTTTTCTTTAAAAATTAATTACGTTTAATGATGTTTGCTCTGTTAGCAAACTTGTAGTTCTTTTACTTGTTATAACAGGTGCCTCTTAATGGCTCAGATATCAATCTGCTGAAGTTCTTAATTTCTCAAATTTCAGCATTGTTTTCATTATTTTTTCTTCAGCAAATCAGTCAAATTGGCTGTTTTGAAATTTGTGTTCCCTTGAAGTAATATCTAGGTTCCTTTATGTAAATCTTATAGATTTTACTGCATTAATTACATGTAGTACCTATTGCATGGAAAGGTAGTGAAAATCTTTATTGTTACAATAAATCTATTGTAAGATGTGGGTCCATGTGTGGCATTTTATTTCACCTGAGCCAGATCTGAGGCTCAAGTTACCGTAGCTTTCCTCATCGAAGTTTGTCCAATGTATGTATGTCTGTATGTGTGGTTCTATGCATGTAAACTTTTCACACTTTCATCTTCTCCAAAACCACTGGGCTAATATGAACCAAACTTGCCACAAAGCATCCTTGGTTGAAGGTGATTCAAGTTTTCTTCCAAATGAAGAGCCACATCCTCTTTGAAGGGGAGATAAAAAATTGATGAAAATATGATGACACCTTTCAATTTTTTTCTTCTCAAGAACCACTGAGCCAGAAAAGACCAAACTTGTATGAAAGCTTCATGACATAGTGTAAATTTATGTTTGTTCTAATCATGGCCCCTGCAGTATGGTGGAGCCACAATGGGGGATCAAAGTTTTACGTGATGATATGAGGAAAAATTCTTAAGTAAAAAATTTTTCCTGAAGAATAGCAGGGCCATGATGAGTCATATTTATATTAAAGAAACATCCTCAGGTTGTGTAGATATATGTTTGTGCAAATAATGGCCCTCTGGGGGTAGGGTTGGGCCACAATAGGGTATCAACATTTTACAAATATTTTGGGAATACATAGGAGGATTCTTTGTCTTCTTCTTCTAAAGAACAGCAGGCCATGATTAGTCAAATTCATATGAAAGCATTCTCAGGTAGTGTAGATTCAAGTTTTTAAAATCTTGGGCCCTGGGGTTAGGATGGGGCCACAATAGGAGAACACTTAATACAATTTATTTATTTTTGTTTTTTATGTGGTTGAGTTTAGCTTTATGTTTGGATTCTTCTTATATTTTTGTGATATAGGAAAGAAATAGAATAATAGAAGATTATCCATTGAGAGAACAAGATATACAAGCCATGTTTCAAAGACAAAGAGAGGAAAGAGAAAGGGCTAAACAGATAGCAGAACGAGAAAAAGAAATAGAGAGAAAACAATTAGAATTTCAGAGAAAACTGGATGATAATGTTTTACGAGATAGGGGTGACTATGGTTACCAGGTACATGTCAGTGCTGGAGTATTGACATCAAAAGTAACAAAGTAAAATTCACTGTTAACCAGAAGTCTCTCCTGATTTCAGAAGGTTATATTTAAAAAAAAAATATGAAGTTGCATCGAAAGAGAATTTGCAGACACCAAAGATTAAAGTTTAATCATAATGGAGAGGTATTCGGTAGAAAATGATAAATTGGACAAAATCTATAGCAGCTTTTGGAATGGCACATTTTATTTTGGTTTGTTTTTGTGTGTGTACTTTTTTTTTGGCATGCACATGGTGAAGATCTGAACATTGTATTCAGTTTTATTTGTTATATAATACTACATTTAGTACCTGTTAAATAAAGTTAGTCAGTTGTGATAACCAGTTTTCTGATAAAGAAGGACACGTACTACTATAATATTTAGATACTAGATAGGGTAAATAACAAATTTTATTTCACTTTTAGGGAAGAAATGCTGCTCTATCTGAACTTCCACCTCCAGGTCGTCGAAATGACCAGTATGACACACGAAGACTGCAGTCAGAGTATGCCCCTCCCCCTAGGAATGACTACTCTCCAAGGAGGGAGGACAATGACAGGTTTGCAGACAGATTGCATCAGAGATATGAGGATGATAGGCGAAATGATTACCAGAATTACATACAGCAGGTTAGTAAAACCAGAGAATCCATGTAAACTGGTGTAGTTACATACAGCAGATCAGTAAAACCATACGGAGAAATTCCCCAGGATACTCTATGTAAACTGGTGTAGTTTCTATGGAAAAAGATAATTGGATGAAGTTTATTTTTGTACTCCTGTATTTGTGTCAGAAAAATATCTTAAGAAGTTTAAATGGATTTTTAAACAAATTTTAGTAAAATTTGTACCTTAGAATGGGGAGATTGGGTATGAGGCAGTTCTGAGGATGACAAGGAATTGTGAGATTGATAGAAGACCACAATTCTTTGAATTTGTTTTTCTTTTTTGAGGGGGGAGGTAGGAGGAATACCTTGGGACAGGGAAGATTAATATAAATTTTAGTCATGGCCCCTTGAGCAACTATTGAAAAAATCTTTAGGTTGTCCATTAGGATGACTGTGGTACTATGATGACATAGTAACACAAGAAGAGATAAGTCTAAGATTTTATTGACTGACTGATTTATACATTCCCTGATTGCCTCCTTTAGTTTTAGATAGAACTTGACAGGCCTTGTGTGAGATATTGTGTGAATTCTAAATGAGATATCTTCTTTAACTATAGTTAAAACATTTGTGGTACAAACAGTTAAGTAACATAAAACTCTATCTTTAGTCCGAGTCAGACCCTCCTTTCAGTCATAGACTGGGAGGATATGAAACACACAGAGAGAAGCTGAAAACTGAAAGAATCCAGGAAACTCGCCAGCATTTGGAAGAGGTAGCTCTGTGTATCACTACATCTTACCCTCTGTGTTCTCTGCCTCTCAATGTCACTGCTGTGTCCTGTTCTTAAATCTTTGTGGTATTCCCTGTTAAAGGGAGTTGTTTCTCAGTTTTCTTTTTTCCTTGTGACATCAGTTACCAGAATGTCAATACCTTCTATTGTAACCATATGTTGATAGATCTAGAATATCTGGCATTTATAAAAATAACAAGAATGTGAGACTTTGTAGAAATCCTTGTTTTAATTGAATTACTTCAGAAAATTTACACCCTCTAGCAGTCCACATGATTTTTGTTTACACATTTGGTCTGGTAAATATGTGAACACTATTGTTGAACCAAATTTAAGTGAAATAATAGTAAGGAAGTAAGTTGTAGTATTTGTATGGTAACCAGAACCAGGCAATGGTCCAACTTAGATTTCAAAAAGTATCAGACCAAACAAATTTTATCAAAATGGTCTGACAAATTTCATGTGGACTTACCTGTGTTAAAAAAAAAATTAATAAATCGAATTATGTGTGGCATCTCTACGAGACTCTGTATATAGTACATCTATAGTATAGTGTATCTGTATTGTTTTGCTATTTCCACATTTTTTTCATTCTGTCCAAATAGCACCAAGTTTCTTTTGTTAATTATGTTTTGATTGTTTAAAATCACAAATTTTTGTCAAGTTTACATGCATGAATGACTGAGCTTTCTTTCACATTTTTTTTTCAAGTTAACTATATACCTTTGTATTTGTTGTTGCTTGTAAAAAAAAAATTTTTTCATGAACTGTATGAGTTTTGTTACTCTGATTTTGTTATCAATGCACCAGAAAAATGCACAAGCCATGAACCGTAGCTGGAATGATCCAGAGGATACGGAGAGTGGCCTCCCGTTATCTAATGACTATAAACGCAAACAGCAACAGGAAGTGGAGAGAAATCGAGAATATAATGAGTTTCTTAAAAAGGTATAACTTGCACATACTGTATTCTATTTGTTCACAGTTTTGTTTTATCTTTTCATATGTTAGTTATGTTATTGGTTTTTAGCTCACCTGAGCCAAAGGCTGAAGTGTGCTTTTCTGATTGAAGGGTGTCCTGCATTTGTCTTCTGCAGTCTGTTTGTCGTCTGCAAACTTAACCTTCTTTAACTTTTTCAATTTCTCCAGAATCACTTGGACAATTTCAACCAAAGTTGGCATACAGCATTCTTGGGTGAAGGGGATTCAAGTCTGTTCAAATGAAGAATCTTGCCTTCTTCAACAAGAGATGATTAAGTTATGGACAAAATATGGTCATTAGAAATCTTCTCAAAACCACTGAGCCAGAATGACAAAAATTTATGTGATAGTTTACTTAATGAGTGTAGGTTCAAGTTTGTTCAAGTCATGGCTAGGGTGGGACCACAATTAAGGGTAAAAGTTTAGTGTAAAAGTCTAACATAGAAATAAAAATTGTAAATCATTAAAGAATCTTCTCAAGAAGAGCAAGACGACAACTAGTTATATAAATATACATTATCTAAATAGACAAGCATTCCCAAGTAGATTAGAAATCATGGCCCCGGGGTTAGGTAGGGACAAAATTTTTTTTCCATAACAGCAAGGCCACTATGCTGATATTCAGAATCTGCATCAAGTGTGGATTCAGGAAGACCTTGGTCAAAAATTTTCATGGAAATATAGAGATTTTTTTTTCTTTTTCTTAACAGCCAAGATGACTCAGGTGAGCATTGTATCCCATGCACATGGGCATCTTTTTTTTTTTTACTTGAAAATTCTGCAGATCAATTAATGTTTTAAAGTTAATTTTGTAAAAGGATTGATTTTTCAAAGAAAAAATACTTGATCTACGTAACTTAGCCACTCTCTGTATTTGTCCATTAATCATTAAATATACTGCCCTAGCTTCTTCAATTTAAATGTTAAAGCCTTCCTTTTTTAGTTTATTGATTAAGAAAGCTTATTGATTAAAAGGTTGCTTTCTTAAGTGTTTAAAAGATTTTGTAAGATGGTATTGAAAATTTTAATTTGAACCTTTTTTTCTGAAATCTTCATTTGTATCTGTATTGTAATTATCTTGAACACTTTAATTTATATTTGCCGATTTTGTTTTTTTAAACAAAATTTAAATCTTAATTGTAACAAAAGTGTGGATCGATACACCAGTTTTGGAGCTTGTTCTATTAATGGTAAGTGTTGTGTCAACAGAAGTAAGATTCCTTCTTTTTTATCAGAAATTTGATAAAAACAAACCCCCTGCAGGGAGGCAGAGGGGCTCTAATCTGTCTTTTGGAGGATATGAGGAAGAGAAGAAAAAATTACAACAGGAACGTCAAAGAGAGTATCGAGAAGCAATGGACAAGGTAGCTGTGGCCACTAACCCACTATCAGCACACCTTTAATCTGTGTCATATTCTTCTAAATACCTCATACTTTCTCCTCACTAATTATAAAACACATTATATCACAAAGACTTGAAATTAAATGATTGCTGTATATGTAAAACCAAACTTTTGACACAACAACTCCTTAGCAAAATTTCTGCTTTTATGGAAAACTTTTTGTATAATGTCTGTCATGAAATATTATGTTTTTTGTTTACAAATATCTTCACTCCAACATTTGAGTAAGTTTTGTGTACCACCTTCTAGCATGTGTACTATCACTCCATGAAGAGAGTGGACCAAAACAAACTGCCATCACTGCGTAATGATGCCAAGGTCAGGAGGCACCCGCTTGTTATTTATCGGGAACAGGTTAGCGAGATATTAAAATCTCTAGATGAGATCACAGACATTGAGGTACCAGACTTTATTCTCAGAGAATACATTAAGAAAATCAAACAAAAGAAAGATTTGATTGAGGAAAATTATCAACTGCAGCTACAGGTATTACGTATGCAGCGTGCATGGCCAAGATTTTAACACACTACCACTAAAGATGCAGGTGCCCCATTTCTACGTATTACTGCTGAGCATGTTCGTTAATCTGCTGTCTAATGAATCTGGAATTAACTGATGCATGAAGATACTGAACAGAATCAATTTTTTTCTCTTCAGGGTTGTCAACAACAACAAAGTCGAGATAATCGCTTTCTTGTTGTGTGGATTTAATTGGCTTGCATTTTGAAGCAAAACATTTTGATTGCTTTTTTTCATTCATGATATTAATGATGTGTTGCAGAATTCTACTGTGTATGATTTTTTTCCCTCCAGAAGTATATGATTTTTGCAGTTACATAATATCATTTTGACAGTATGTACCAGTACTAATAAGTGAAAAATTTTGAATTGATTGTTATATAATATCATGTACAATTTGACTGAATAATAAATATATTTTTGCACAAAAGTGTTAATTTTGTACTATCATCTCTTTCTGTCCTACTCAGCACCAGTATTGACTTGTATTGACTTGGTCTCTTTGAATTTATATAAAATACTCTAGTTAACTATGTGTATGTAGATTATTAGTTGGACTATACTGTTAACAAATTGGAGTATTTAATGGTATATCTATTGTGCCCCCACAAACAAAGTTTGGGATATACTTGAATCACCATATCTGTCTGTCTCAATCTCTATCTGTCCGTGGATGTTTTTTTGAACTTGTTCACCTGGCATGTCAATATATATATATATATATATATATATATATATATATATATATATATATATATATATATATATATATATAAAAGATATGATTTGTTTTAAAGGTTTCATTGAACTTAACTTCTTTGACAGGCATAAAGTGGAGCATAATTCTTTTCTAGAAATAACTTTGAAACAGAAACTTTAGAGGTTCATACTTGATACAAAGGTTTTTTCGTGACCAGACTTGTATCTTGTCTCTGTACCATGTCATTTTGGATAGGCACAAAAGTAATAAATTATTGTTCTAGTCTTTAGACCTTAACCCAGGATAATTTGTTCAAGTTCACTGGTTTTAGAAATATTTAATTCTTGTTTTGAAGTTGAGAATAAACATTAGTAGTTTATATAAGGCAGAAAGGATCGATGCTAATGTGACCAGAGGGGTGTGTAACAACCCTGCATTATGATCATTTAGAAAAAGTCAAGGATATTGAGTTGAAGTGTATAATTCTTGTCCATAACATAATTTTACGATGAAATAACTTCAGATTTTATACTTACCCCCAAGGTTGACCCTGGGATAGGTCACATTCCTGGACAAAGGTCATGTAGTCAAGACAAGTGTCTTCTGAAGGTCTTAGAAGCGTAAAATTAAAAAGACAAAACTTTGTAATTTTAAAGGTCTTAGAAATGTGAAATAAAAAGACAAACCCTTGCATTGATATTTTAATGATAAGAGATGTTAATTACCACCTCTCAACAGATTCAGGCCATGGGAATTTTTAGTATATATTAATTATTTTAGTGAGAGAAAGAATTTTTAAGAACTATTTTAAAATATGCCCAATTTTTAGTCTAGTGCTAGGGTATTACTCCTTTTAGGAAAGTTTTAGTTTACATTCCTATCAAAGTGAATGTAGTGTTTTTAAATTATGATTTGAATTCAATTATTACCGGTATTACTTATAATGGCAATCTCTTTCATGTTAGTGTTCCTCTGGATGGCATTATCTGTTACATTGATTTTTATAGAAGGAACAAGAGAGGGGTAGAGGTAGGCGAACAGAACAGGTTAGAGCTAAATCTCCAGACGATTTCTTCTCTGGCATTGGAAAACACCAAGAAGAGAGAGAGAAACTGAATACTGAGAGAAAGAAAGAATACAACCACATGCTAGCTGAGGTAGGGTTCATTGAGATTTAAGAAAAGTCAATACTTGTTCCATTTAACTTAAATTTTTAATGTTGTAATTTTATGATGAGAGAATAGAGGCTCATTGTATCTGCTTTTCACTGTATGATTCCAGCAAGGCAGAGCTTTGATTGGGGTGGCTAAAACTTTGGCCTCTTCTTATGACAGTCTCTATGGTGATGATGGGGTAAACACATTTGTTCAGAAGTGATGACCGCCAGTCCTTGCATATTATCTGCTATGGCTAATTTTTGGCTCTCATTCTCTTTCTTTACCATGCTATTTAACAGGCCTTATATAGAACAATGGCACTAATTTTCCATCTGGCATTTTTTTCTCCAAATGTTTTCAGTGATTCTGCAGATTAAGTTTTAAACTCTAGAATAATGGAATAAAAGTTGAGGTTTGCTTTAAATGTTTTAATTCAAGTACAATAAAACAGATGCTGAGGTCAGTGTTATCTGGAAAAGAGAGTATTATGATACGAGGGATGGGGAAAAGATATAACTTCCTTATAACTGCATGAGAATCCATTATATCTGAGTTTCTTGTAAGCAAGTTTTACTGTATAATATATATATTGCTAAATTTACTGGCTCAGAGGCAGTGAAATTGCAATTGAAGTTGAGCCATCTTGTATATATAGGGATTATACCTCAAACGTATGAATTAATGTCATGTTTAACAGAAAATAATTCTTAGTACATTAATTCATTTGCAGCCATTTCACTTAACAGAATTCATCATTTCTGAACAAATATATGAGTTATCAAAACTGCCACCTTTGTCAATTAAAACACAAAATATGTCTCGTGTGATTCATTACCAAAACACAAAATGTGTCTATTGTGATTCAATTCACAAAGTTTAAACTCGCACAGTGTAAATCCTTTTAACATTATTTGCTTCCTTGCTCTGTGAGTGAGAACCTCCTTTTATTTTTTTTTACTGAGATTATACAATATCTGTATAACTTTCAGCAATTTGAGGCTCTAACCGGTGTTGTTAGGAGTCTAACTTCACTGGTCGAGAAAGACAATCCTTTGAATGATCTGGAAGAGGTAGCATTTGTGTCATAGAGTGGTTGACGTAGCACTAGAAATTACACATACCAGTAGGGAATGCAACATGCAACATTTCTGTACAAAATGTCTTAGATTTTGTGTTGTAGAGATTGTAGAAGACTGTGTGTTTAATAAATATACCTTTATGAAAGTTTTAAAATAACAAAAGGATGCTCAATATGATCAATTTATTTCAAAATATATGATCCATTTATTCAGCACATTGTACTCTTTTTTTTCATCATACAATAACACCTTCCTCTGTTCCAGGAGTTACCAAGGCGAGGCAGGCCTAGAGACCCACCGTTGGAGGTAGGTTTGATGAATTAATTCATGAAAAATTGTGTAAAATAAAACTGATCTCAGTTTGTATTATATCAAATAGAAAGAAAGACAACTGGGTATTAATTTTTTTTTTTACTTAAAATAACGAAGTGCCCACCAGGGCAATAAAACTATATCCTGGAAAGGGAGGAGAAGGGCTAAATAAATTGTTGAAAATTAGATTTGTTCACCACTTTAAAATACTTGAGGGGGGACGACATTTTCATTGCGCAATACTTTGTGCAGAATAGGGAAATAAACTTTATTTACACTTTTAAAGCAAATATTTCAAAAAACTTTTCAAATTTGACAAGATTAAGAAATCAAGGGGGGAAGGGGATTAATTACATTTTTAGAAATAATTTTTTAAAAAGATTTTTCAACTGATAGGTAGATGGACATCATTATAGTGTGATAAACTGAAGTTCTTCAAGAGTGGGGGGTCATAACGTGTTTTAAAAGAAAAGGTATAAAACATACACTTCTGAAATTTAAAAGGCAAGAATATGAAAGCCTCACAAGTATTTTTTGTAATTTTCTGTGTAAATTCTTAGTATCTGTGATATTTTGTAGTACTCCATAAAAACAAGAAAATTTTGCAAATTTTGACTTTTTGAGATGTCTCCTCTGGAAACCAAACTGTAGAAATCTGTGTTTCTTACACAATTTGTACATATAAAAGTTTTACACACGTTGATTATAGATGGAGGTTATAATAAAATAAGAAAAAGAGCATTTTAACTGTTATTGAAAATATTGCAATACGTATCGCAATACAGTTAGAAATATCGCAATACAAAATTTCCAGCCAATACCCAGCCCTATTGTTTATCCATTACCATCCCTGAACCTCTTTAGTATTTTCACCATATTTCTTCTTTTTTTTTGGTTGAAAAAATACCCTAAAAATATGAATGTTATCAAAAGATGGCAGCAGGAAAAACTTGGATGTTCTACTATAATTAGGGCCCTGCTCTGCGGGCGCCCTATAGTGATCAGTCTGTCCGTCCATCCATCCGTCCGTCCTAGATCTCTTGTCCGGAGCATATCTTCTCTCTCCTTGGCCCAATCTGGCTCATACTTCACCCACAGAGTGTCTTTGGGTAAAAGGTGTGCAGTGACCTTGAACCATCATCCTAGGTCTAAGGTCAAGGTCATAGCAGAATTATATGAAAAATCCTTGTCCGGAGCATATCTTCTCTCCTCTTGGTCCAATGTGACTCATACTTCATTCACAGAGTGCCACTGGTCAGTGGATGTGCAGTGACCTTGAACAAAGTTTCTAGGTCAAGGGTCAAGGTCAAAAATAGCCTCTCTGCTTAAATTCTTGTCCAGAGCATATCTTCTCTCTCCTTTGGCCAATCTGGCTCATACTTCACCCCCAGAGTGTCTTTGGGTAAAGGGTGTGCAGTGACCTTGAACCATGTTTCTAGGTCTAAGGTCAAGGTCATAGCAGAATTATATGAAAAATCCTTGTTCGGAGCATACATTCTCTCCTCTTGGTCCAATGTGGCTCATACTTCACTCACAGAGTCCCACTGGTCAGTGGATATGCAGTGACCTTGAACAAAGTTTCTAGGTCAAGGTCAAAAATAGCCTCTCTGTTTAAATTCTTGTTGGAGCATATTTTCTCTCTCCTTGGCCCAATCTGGCTCACACTTCACCCACAGAGTGTCTTTGGGTAAAAGGTGTGCAGTGACCTTGAAACATGTTTTTAGGTCTAAGGTTAAGGTCATAGCAGAATTATATGAAAAATCCTTGTCTGGAGCATATCTTCTCTCCCCTTGGTCCAATGTGGCTCATTCTTCACTCACAGAGTGCCACTGGTCAATGGATGTGCAGTGACTTGAACGAAGTTTCTGGGTCAAGGGTCAAGGTCAAAAATAGCCTCTCTGTTTAAAATCTTTGTTCAGTGCATAATTTCTTTCTCTTAAGTCCAGTCAGCCTCAAACTTTACCAATTGACTTAGGGTACGGAACATTTGTGATTTTCCTTCCATATTTTGATAGAGGATATGCAACAATTTTCATAAAGGATATGCAACATTCATGATTTTTGAACAGTTTTTTGGTAGAGGGTATGGAGCACTTGTGATTTTCATGCCATATTTTATTATAACAAGGATGACATAGAAGCCCTTTAGACTGAAACAACACATCCCGTAATAGAACACAAATGTTCCTCTTCAAAATAAACCCTTTTCAGCTACCTTACATTTTCATGTTCTTTGCTGAAAGCGGGGCCCTTTGAGATGGCCACCATCTCAATGATATCTAGTTATAACTTATTTTAAATACCTGGTAGTTAAGTTCCAGAGAATCCATGGGCTGTTAATAAAATATGCCTGCACACAAATCTATTTAAAATGAGGAAACTTTTAATAAATCTCAGAGAAGGTTCTTCATTAATGGTAGGAATCCTTTACAAAAAAAAGAAAGGGTTGAATTTCCATCATTTTTCTTGTCAAGAAACAGAAGATCTTAACAGTTATGTATTTTTGTCAATCTTGTTCTAAAAATAACTGAGCAAGTGATCAAAGTTGTTTCAAAACTTTCTTCAGCCAGAGGAGCTACCTCCAAAGGATACAGATTCATTTGAAGCAAGTCTGCGTGGAATTAGATCACATGAGTCTGCAGAGGTGAGTTTTGACTATGTTCTTTATGAATATTTGGTCATAAAACTATCCTTTAATTTAATGTGGTGGTCAGAAGGGTTTGATCGCTGGTAGCTAGATAGCTCAGTTGGTAGAGTACCTGACTGGAGATTCAGGAGGCCTGGGTTTGAATCCCAGTCTGTCGCATTTTCCCCCTTTCCTGTTACATTTTTGCATGCGGTGCCATGCCCTGGAAAAGACAGATGAAAGACCCATCAGGGAAGGGCCTGAGGGCATCTTCGGGGGATGAATACCTTTTAGGAGGGAGGAATGTGGCACTCAGACAGATTTGATCACTTGTGGTTGGACAGCTCAGTTGGTAGAACACCTGACTGGAGATTCAGGTGCCCGGGTTTGAATCTCGGTCTGGTCCGTTGCATTTTTCTCCTTTCCTTTTACATCAAGAATAATTTCAACTTGCATTGTGAGGAACATAAGCATTTCCACTCAGTAAATTGTACAAATAACATTAAAATAACTGTCTTATATACAAAGATCAGCAGTGCACAGAATATATAATTATAATTTTTTTGTTGGGTGGGGACAGGGTGTATGTATGTGGAGCATGATGGACGTGTAAGGATGACTGCTCCTATATCTGTCTAAATGTCTGGAAGCATTCAATCATGTCCACAAGTAAGGTTACTTGCAGCTGACGTATGATGCATCAGGCTCCATGAGCTTTCTTTATGGATACACTTTTGATACAGCTGCCTTCATCACCAAACCAGCAAAATCGAACCATTTCTATTTCAGATCAGGAAAAAACAGTCCAGGAATGAGGAATACAATGAGTTTCTCAAACAAAAGCGGGAACAGGAAAAGCACAGATATGATAGACAGAAATATGGAGAGGTAAGTCGAGTATTCTATCTATAATTTCTACAGCTAGGTTATGGGGATGCATGAGTATTTATTATTGTGTACAGGGGACGAGGAAAAAAGGTTCATAACTTACTAGAATTGTATACTAATGAATATAATTTTTAACCCATGTGTAATCCACAATCGTTATTAAAAGTTATTTTGTGAATGTCTTGTCCTTTGTATAACTTTGAATCTTAAGTTCCATTAGATTTCTAAGCTAAGTAATTGTGAACTAGATCTCAGAGCCCCCCAGTTTTTCATTTTGGGGGGGGGGGGGGGGATAATGCATATAATGTAAAGATTTATCATTGAAATAATTCAAAGAAGAATCCATTCATTAAAACTTAGTCTTTAAATCTGCTCACTTCTCTCCAAATAAACTATATGTTATTGCCCAGATCTGATAGGTACCGGTAATCAGTCCCTCTAATATAGACACATTTTTACTACGAACTTTGCCATTGTATAACTCAAATCAGTACACTTTACTACTGCAAATACACTATATATATCCAGTTCTGCCATCATATCTTAGTCCATTAAACATCCTTGGTCAGCTCATGAAATATGAATGTGATAGATCTGTGATAGAGGAGATAAACAGAATGATTGCCAGGAGATTGGTAACTTGAGTATCCATAGTGACTTGGAATCAATACTCATCTTTGAGATTTTATGCTGTGGTACTATGGAATAGATATCATTTAGATCATGTTGGAGATTGTATATTTTGTTATGATGGAGTAAATATCATCATTTAGATCATGTTAATGGATGTTGATTCCTTAAATCTTGCAAGTATATTTTTCATGGTCATTTACTTGTATATTTATGTAGTAAGTTCTTGTCATTAAATGCATGTCTGTCTTTGTTGTGACTTTTCATGTTGATTCCCTGCATTGAGTAAAAGTAGATTTATAGTCACCAGTTGAGGTCCATTGATGTCAGAGTGAGGTGAAATAATGATTTCTTCCTTACGGGTCGGACAACTCTTATTATTACTGGGATGTATTGCTATGGAAATGGAGCAGTTGATGATAGACTTGAGCTCAACTTCAATTTGTTGTCTTTGTATAATTAATTTTTAGACTTTTGGCCTATTAAAGAAAATATTTATCTCCCCCAGTTTGATGCAAGAAGTAGATTGTGACTCTGATGTGTCCCATGATGGAATGTCTTTTTTTGTCTGTTGTGTTTTTTATCATTTGTCCTTCCACAACATAAGTGTAGACCTTCTAGTAATTAAAGCTCTACACAACAGGGCTGCAGTATTACAGATTGTGACAGTCAGTTCTCGTAAACTCAGCTAGCTGCTGGGTGTCAGATTTTGGATACAATTTTAGAAAAAAAGCAAAGTCAAGTGATAATACCGTATAATGGGTACTTTTGCGGTTGGAAAATTTTGTGATTTAATTGACCCCTGAAAGGTAGCAAATTAATTTCTGCATTTCAATTTCTGTGGTTGCATTAATATACTGCAAAAATTTATTTAGGTGATATGATCACCAACTTCTAAGGATTTGGCAGAACACTGCCATGTTTACATTTTATAAATTCATTTAAAGACATGTTGAGCAAAGGTGCATGGGAACTGGTACTAAGCTCTACTATCTTTAAGTTAGTCTGCGTAAATTATTTTCAAATCCTCTTTATTTCATACATCCATATAAATACTTTATCTATTAGAATATAGAGTAAGAAGTTATGAAATAAACTTAAATCAGGTTGACTGACTTACACTTAATTGCGTGTAAAAAAAAATTTGAATTAATATTGAAGAAATATTATGTGATTGTAATTTTTGCGGCTTTTGTCCTATTCAAAAAATTCCACAAAAATTGGACAATCCCAGAAAATACCCGTTATACAGTATATGTGCAAGTATAAACAGAGGGAGAAAACAACAAAAGATTGTCAGTGATGTGAAGCGTTAGCCAAGCTAGGTCACCATCCATGATAAATGGTACTTAGCAGCAAATAGGTATACTAGCTCTCCTTATGTAGTGGTTAGGCTAGCATAGTGATCATGGGTCTAGGTAGAGCTACTAAGATGCTATGATACTAAATAAACCCCAGGATAAATGTAGTTAAAATTTAGACTCCTGTACCATAGCCAATGAGCAGAATGAGCTCAAAGTCATAGCAATGAGAGGTCAAATAGGATTTGCCACTCTAACAATGTGCTGCTTAGGCTTATGTTTTATGAACATCCCTGGACTTGAATTTCTTGAGCCATTAAAGTAGTCTAATTTCAGAAAACAATTTAATGTATGGATGAATGTTAAGGTAAAAAAGATTAATTTGGGTTGGTTTTTTATAATATGTTGTCTTCTTTGTATGTTAATAATTGTAATTGTAAAATTAACAGAGTGCAGGAAGTATATTAAGAAATCGACCCTCGTCTGAGCCCCAGGTAATTTAATCACCTCTAGGCACTAGAGTTACCCCATTTTCCCTTTGTGACTGTCTGTCTGTGTACATAGTCCATGCTATAATTCCCTGTCATTTCCAGTTTCTTCTTCTTAGGCTGTGAAGTCAGCATAGATGTTTCACCCTGATTAACTATCCTCACTTTATTTACACTTGTTTGAATATGAGAACATATTATGTAAATATTAAGTGTGCTTTTATTGTGGGTTTATTACCATCACCCTTGATTTATTTTTGAAGATGTGACAGTCTTTTCATGGATATGATTGGATGTACATGTGTTGAGAAGTACAGTAACATTACTATGAAAATTTTTTAATTTACAGAAAATTATTAAAAAATTGCAAAAAGATTTTGTAAATTAACTAATAGATTTATTAACAAATTGTTAGGATCAACAGAAATCTTCTGTAAAACATTTTGCCGTGTTATTCATACATGTATTATGTGTGAGTTCATCCTATTTTCAAACTTGCACATGTCATCCAAGATATCTATACTGCATGTGCTTTTTGTGCACATTTGCTTTATTAATTCTAATCAATGCATGACAAGTTCTTAATTTTAACCCACTTTCTGCATCAACAGCCCAGAGATGGAATCTATGCCACACTGCCAGGATTACATTATAATGGCTCAGCACAGGTAACAATGCTCCAGTATATATAACCACCCGCTTGATTTCTCACAAATTCTTTTTTCAGAATAAATGAATCAAGATTTAGCAATTTTTTTTTGGGAATAATCAAAACAGTTGTAAATTAAACTTAAAGACATCAATTTTGGCCCTATAGATTTAATTTTTGTAATATATTTAAGGCCTCATCCTCTTAATTTTGATTTCACTAGAAAAGAAAAATTGAAGCTAGGAATCAAGAATACAACGAATTTTTAAGAAACAGTCAGGAAAACCTGTCTGTAAGTAGAAAGCAAAATGGTGTCTTGTATTTACATCATAATTAATCTTCTGACTTCACCAAAAATTAATATCTTCATAGATCCTCTTACTTCACCAAAAATTAAAATCTTCATAGATATACAGGTTTTGGACAGTGTTTCAAGTGATGTTGGAAAAGTAGGCTCAGATTTCATATCATATGCCATGTGAATGATGTTGGGAGGGCTACAAATACACTTAGCCTTTTGCACAATCCTACTCAGACCTACTGACTCAGAATATATTATACAATGTCATATATTAAAGAAAATAAGGTTTGAATGATTCCAAACTGTATGGACACCTATCATATGCAAATATTTTAAAATTTCAAAGAACTTTTATTGAAAAAGTAATTGAGTTACACCATTTAAGTATCAACCAATCAGAATTCAGAATCCAATCAGAATACCCCAATGGTTCTATTCAGTTTGGGGCTTAAGTCCAATGGTCATGCCAAAGTTCAATAGGTCATTTACCATACTAAAGTGCAATGGTCTGAGAAGCCAAAGCTAGAAGGTGCTTGGCTTTCGAATTCAAAAAGTTAGGGTTAGTCCTTGCACACCATCTAACTGATTTTTGGTTAGTTCTTGCTCCCACCCAAGATAAAAGGGTAAATCTTCACACACTATTTGACTGATTGGGGTTACTCTTGCTCACCATTTGTCTGGTTGGGGTTAGTCTTTGCACACTTTTAGACTGATTTGGGTAAATCTCGCACTCACTCTAGGTTTAAGGTTAGTTCTCGCACACTATTTGATAACGGTTAGTCTTGCACCTTCACAAGAGATTAGGGTTAGTCATCACACAGTATTCAACTGATTAGGGTTAGTCTCACACCCACTCTAGAGGTTAGGGTTAGTCCTTACTCACTTTCCACTGATTGTGCTTATTTCTCAACCAGCCAAAAGTTTAGAGCTAGTTTAAGAGATACCATCATCTACAATTTTACAATTTTTAGGTCACTTGAGTCACTTAGGTGACCTATTGCTATCTGTCTGTTGTCGTGCATTGTGTGTCGGCCATAAACTTTCAAACTTTTTTCAGCTTCTTCTCTTGAACTGCTGAAGCAATTTTAAATTTCAACCAGTTCGACATTTCAAACCATCAGGGTTTGGCATAGACCATCAGACTTAGGATTCCCATTGCAATTTGGAGTCTTGCATATGTACAAAATGTGTGCGTATTTGTGTATGTGTGCATACCCTTTATCATTTCATGGAGTCTCAAAATTTAAACTTATATATTAAGGAGGAATTCCATATTAAAATTTTATTTTATGGATCTATAAACATGTCAAAGTTTCTATTAATTTGTTCAGTTTTGAAAATTTCTTTTTATTTTCCTTATAAATTATGATTGTCTAATATTTCTTTCTTTTAATGACATGTTTCTTGAAGATTTTATCTATAGATTGAAAAAATATTAACAAATAATGTTTTTTTATTTTCATAATTTTTTAAAATTCAATTAATATGTCTATCTGGCTCTTCTGGACTTAATTGTTGTAGGAGACATTTAGATATTTATAAATTTTGCATTAATAAAAAGATTTTTAGCTTTATAGTACTTGTCTCTTTTGCAACCAGAATTATTTTCACATTTTCTTTAAAAAAATACCAAAAATTCTTTACAATTAGGTACAACATTTTGAAGAGGTTGATCCACAATTTCATCCCAAATCCTTGATTGATGCGATCAATATATGCTACAATCGCTTTCCTTTTTTAAAAACTAATTTACACAATTTACCTTCCTATTAATGAATGACACAATAATAATGCACTGTATTATATAAAAAATAAAAAAGAATTCAAATAGAAAAATCACTTTAAGATCATCTTTGAAGATGGAAGACAATAAGAAAAAGAAACAGAGTAAAATCATTTTCTCATTGTTTGGAAAGCAAAATTAAGGCAGTATATGTGTCCTTCTCTCTGTCAGTTTTCTATGTCCTGTAATTCCTAATTTAAAATATTTCCTGCAATTTTTTGTTTTGGTTCAGAATATATGAATTTACTGTTTTGAATGAATGTAACTGACTTGTATTTAATCTGTACAGAGAAGAGGTGGAGGTAATAAAGCAGCAGCTAATCCCCGGAGAGGTTGGCAATCCCCTGGTTATGAAGAGGATCGCAGACGCAGAGAAGAGGCACAATACAGGTACTCATTTAGATAATCTTAAGTCGTAAATTTTTTATGTGCTTAATATAATACAGTTACCATATTAGTGTAACATTGCAAGTCTGACACCACTGTTATCAGTGATTTGTTTTGGCACTAGGATACATATGATGCATGCAAAATAAATGAAAATTCCTTTACTGTAATACGGTAGTAAAGTTTAATGCTGATATTATACATTTGTGTACTGTTTTGCACATAATTAACCCTAATATAAAGCCAATTGCATGTAATTTTAGTCCAAGACCACTTACATTAAATTGTTATTATTTTTAGACCTTGAATACCCCTAAATACTACAATTTTATCAGTGAGACAAGTGAATGTCTTAATACCAGATTATGTTCAATTATATTAGAGCATCAAATTGATTACTTAGACAAACATCTTCCTATTGAAATTTTTAATTCACCATTGGACATGGTAGTGGCATTTGACAGCCATCCTGCTTTTCTGCGATTTTATTTTCGCAACCTGTATGGTTTTCTGCGACTACTTCACACTGTTTTTCCCTGATTGGTTTATACTATATGTTATATGTGTTATCTCCTTTTTTTGATACTTCCATCCTTTCTGTGATTTTTAACTGGCCACGGTTAGCATTTAGCATCAAATGATTACCGATAATTACCTGTATTTCTCCATCGTGAGTACTAATTAACTCACAGTGAGATACAAAGTGAATGAATTTTGTATTTTACACTGGTCGGTAACAGGTTTAGGACATTATGGAAATTGTTCATACAGAAACAAATCATGGTAACAAATGTATTATAAATGATGAATTTACATATAGAAAGGTCAATGTTTTAAGGAATGGCATGTGTCTTACCGATGCAGCAAAGGTAAAATATGCAAAGCCACAATTACAACTGATGCAAAAGGAATTGCCCTTGTAAGCAGGGGCAACAGGTTTTACCTGGCTAACGGAAGAGGTACACGTTAAAATAAGGAAAAGCAAAAATATTATTGCGGAAAAGCAGTATTACTTGTCACGGAAAAGCAGGATTTTTTTCGCAAAAAAGCAGTGTCCAATTGCGGAAAAGTGGATCTGCTTGCACATTTAGCCTATCAGTGTTCAATGCAACATACCAACCAGATCAATATATGTTTTGATCTAAAATGAATACAAATTTTCAAAAATGGAACATATTCTTATAATCATAAGAAATTATTGTTTAAGTTACTGTTAATCCAAACTTTTACTTTATTCATATGTATTTTATACAGTTAAAACTATATTGCTAATTGTTTATAACTTGTAGAAGAGAGGATCCACAGAGACCGGGAGGGATGAAGGCTTATGCCAGTGATGGGGCTATCAATAGAGCGGTAAGGAAGCAAATATTGCACAAAATTGTGCTTCATAGTACAAAATATAAAAATATGAATAAAAAATATAAATAAAAATATCATTTTTCTAAAAGTTTAGTTTTTTTCTACTTCTGTATTTATTGTTTGTTTTTTTTTAATATGCAAACACTTTCTCTTTGGCAGGGTAATGATCGACGATACAATGACGAGGACAGAGATGGTGATAGGTAACTGGTTTAATAATGAAAAAAAAATTATCGTTTACAGCAAAGTATTCAACATAAAAAGTTTTAGGGAATTCTTCTCAATTTTATAGAGTTTTATTAGAGTGATGATTTGACTGTCAAAGAAAATTGATTGCATGTATGTCTTGTCATTTACAATGTGCATATTGCTCTTCTTTTAATATTCAGAAAGTTAATTATTATAAAAAAAAAACATGAATTTCTACGATATGAACCTAGACAAATATTTTCTGGTTACTTTTTTTTTAAAATACTTTATACATAATTTGAGTATTTACTAATATTTTTATTAATGTTTTTACAATTTGTTTTTATACATCAATTATGATTTACAGAGATATATGACCTTTGAAAAACTTAGAAATATAATTGAAAAAGATGTGGTGGGCCTGATGTTGTATTTTTGGCAGTACTCTCATGTTTAATGCATCTTTTCTATTTGTTGTAGGCCGGGAAGGTATAGATCTGAACGCAATCGAAGTAAAGGTGTACTGGATGACGATAACTGGCTATCAGGAAGACGGGAAGTTGAGGATGAATATCAAGAGCTGGTAAGTGCTTGTCACCCATGACTGATCACTGGTCACCCATGACTGATCACTGATGGTTGTGCTCCCTGCAAAGTCAGATACATGACATCATACATGTCACATATGTATGGTGATAAAGACTTAGCTGGAACAAGATGAGATGTATTGGGGTGGCAATTGAATGCAAAATTGCTAATTGCATGGTTATGTTCTTACCAGATAACCAATACATCATATCAAAATCAGATTTTTCAGTATTCATGCAGTCATGAACACCTCAGTAGCTATACTTAAGTTTTTTAGTAAAAGGAAGAACAAGTAATGGTGTAAGTACTAAATTCAGCCAATCATTTGACAAATGTTTGATTGTAATCTAGAGCCCTGTAAGGAATGAATTTAATAGCTACCCAAGTTATACTTTTAAATTGGGTATAACTACTTTGCGTTTATGCAGCATAAACTGTTCCAACCCAAGATGCAAAAGTAATTATGCAGCATGTACCAGTAATTCTTATTTTATTTGGAGACAGGCTGTATGTTCCGAATATACTATATTTAACTGGAAAAGAGGGATAAAATTATTTTTATTGAAAATTTTGGAACAAAAGCTTGAAAAACAAAATATTCCATGTAAATGATTTGAAGTTTGCGACAAATATGATATTGCAAAAATCATACCAACAATTCTACTACAGTTATTGCCGAGATCAAAGAAATGCCGCGGACATTATTCTCCAATAAATCACAAACGTCTTCCAAAAACTATCAGATCAGAAACACATGTCAAACCTGTACATTTGAAATGAATATTTCACTGTAGAATCTAATACTTATTAAGACCATATCGATATGTCGTCTTACGCAGTCTGAACAGTGTGTATTGCCTGAAACAGCTGATAAATATCAGTTTTTATAGCCAAATGGGGCTGTTCCATGGACCTCCCCACAACATTGACACTCCGTGATTTTACTGACAAATCAATGAAATAGACAAGTGATTTTGTTATTTTACATTCATAAAAAGTAATCCATATATATTACAAACAAATTTATAAATATTTAAGATATTTTTAATCAAATGAAAGCTGAAATTGTCTGCATTTTATGCAGTCGACACACAAGTAAACAAACAAATTGACCCTCTGGTGTTGAATGGAACAGTGAAATCGCAACATGGTGACCTAATTTGTTTCTCTATAGATGAAACGATCAGCCGTATTTTAGAGCTGTTAGTAGAATAGAAATAAAGTCCTTGTTGTCGTGAATGATGCAGGATAACCTCCTCGGTCTCGAAATGTTGTCTGAAATGTAAAAGCCTCGGCTAACGCCTTGGCTTTTATATTTTAGACAACATTTCTCGACCTTGGAGGTTATCCTGCAACATTCATGAAAACTCGGACTTTATTTCTTAAATAAACATGAATAATTGCCATCCCTTGTAATTAAATGAAAAATGTTATCCTTAACATATTCAGTGTTTATCTTGATGTGGGATGTTGTTGTGAGATTTTGTTTATTTTTTACACAAGATAAAGCGAATAAAGGGTACAAATGAGGTAGGTACTGCAGAAATGTGTGCAGCCATTTATATACACACATTCAAACTCCTATAATATTGTGTTGGGCACTACTGCATTGTTGTTCAAGTGCCAGTGATGAACAACCAAAAAATTAAATCATTTGAAAAAAGCAATAAAAAGCACAAGTTTGAGCTAGGCTTGACAAATCATGGTCACTGACTTTAGAATCAGTTACATGTTTCACAAAAATGCTGTTTATAAATTGAAATAAGTGCAATTGATTACAAACTGACTGCATTGTTCTCCATCCTTTTCTAGAATTAAGTGTATGATTTACAAACAACACTATAGTTAACTATATTTTTTATCGTAAACTATAGTTTAAAGTCGTAAAATATAGTTTCACAGAAAACTGTGCATCCTCAATACATATCGGAGATTTTGTCATAAAACAGTGTTTCTCTAATGTAAAATTATATTTATCACAATTTTGTAAATTCATCACCTTGAATATCTGTTAACTATTATTTACAACTGTAAACATTCCTCAACTATAGTTTAGAGTTGTAAACCATAGTTTACAAATCATGAAACTGTATTTTTCAGATTAACTATAATTTGATTGTTTTCAGTGTTAAGTATATCTATATTTTACACTAATCTTGTGAAATGTAGATTTAGGCATTAACTATGGTTTAGTGATGGGAAGTATAGATTTATGTTGTTAACTTTTAAATTAGTTTATGATACAGACACTATAGTTTACAGTCTATATACCTAGTTTATCAATGGTGAAACTACGGTATGTTTAGGCCATTTTTGGTGAAATTGGTGTGCCATATGATACGGTATGATATGTAGGTAATTGGCATTTTTGCAAATATATGAAAAAAAAGTGAAGATAACCAAAGACTGATTTGACGCAAATCAATGAAACAAATTTATTTACCTTTTATTTTGTGGAAAAAAGTAGGGAATATATATACGGTAAACATGTGGTCATTCCATGTACAGTTTAAAACATATTTTGAACTTATTGAATATAATGAATTGCACTTACAATGAGACAAAATTGTTCATTCCTGGCACTACACTATAAGTGTGTTATATACTATACTTGTTTCTTCCTTCCTTTTCTTTCTGTTTGTAACTTGATCACCTGAACCTAAGGCTCAAGTGAACTTTTCTGATCGAAATTTATCAGTTGATTGTCATAGGTGTCATCTGCATTGTAAACTTTTCATATTTTAATCTTCTCCAGAACAGCTGGGCAAATTTCAAAATTTAGCTGCATAGCCATAGCTTGCTGGTCTTAAAAAATTGGGATGGATGACCCTAGAGCTACAATGCCAACCATTGTAAAAAGTATAATTTCAACCAAAGTTGCTACAAACCTTAGGTAAAGGGAATTCAGATTTGTTCAAATGAAGGGCCACATTCTCTTTCAAGGAAAGATAATTCAGAATTCGAGAAAATCTAATGGCAGCTTTCAGAGATCTTCTTCTCAAGAACTAGAAGACCAGAAAACCCATACTGAAATAAATTATAACTTAGTTATAACTTTTGTAACTAAAAAAAGGTACAAAAAAGTTATAACTAAGTTATCGGAGTTTGGAACCGCCTGTTTTAAGTGAGGTATAATTTAGTTATAACTTAGTTACAAAAAAGTTATAACTTTTGTATAAGTTTTCATTTTTTATTTCAACATAAATACAGCAAGTGCAAAAAGTTACAAAAAAGTTATAACTACAAAAAGTTATACTTATTAAAAGTTACACAAAAAGTTATAAAAAAGTTACAAAGTTATACTTTAGTTATACCCAAATAAACGGTGGAAAAAGTTACAAAAAAGTTATACCCGGAAAAAGTTATTTAAAAAGTTATAAAAAAGTTATACTTAATAAAAAGTTATAACTAAAAAAAGTTATACCCATGAAAAGTTATAACTTTAAAGATTATGAAAAAGTTACAGAAAAGTTATAACTATGAAAAAGTTATGAAAAAGTTACAGAAAAGTTATACCTAAAAAAAAGTTATAACTACAAAAAGTTATACCTAATAAAAGTTATACCTAATAAAAGTTACAATAAAATTATACACTTCATGTTAACCTGTGGTAGAATTACTCAATTATAGGCTTTAAAAAAGCTACTCATTAAAATTTTTACAAAAAGATTATTAAAATTTTTACAAAAAAGATTATTTAAAAAAAATTAAAAGCACTTACAATTTTATTTTATAAACATGATTAAGAGAGCTTGGTTCATTGTCAAATACAATTGAATGAATGCACATTCATGTTTTCAAGTCTACCTTATTTTTCATCAAGCCATCATAACAGATTGAAATTTCTCAGAATGGTTGTTTTCTAAAAATACATTTTTTTTAGCATATAGTCATAAGAGTTTTTGTAAAATTACCTAGTAAACTGCATTCTACTCTTGTGAACTTTTATAAATAGGCATCACTGCCTAGATTTTAACTCTCTAGTTTTTCATGTTAGCGCCATGATCTAGCTGTACTTCAAAAAAAAAAGAAGGTTCTAAGCAGTGATTTCGGTCACAGTTCTTAGCTGCATACCACCCAAGTCCTTGCACAGGTATCCTTGTGGATGTACAGTTGTGATTTTTATCTGGATTATTTAAAGACGGGCTGCACCAGTAGTCGGCCGAGCTGGTCGAGGGACTTGGCCGTCCGGCCAGCGGTCTGCGCCCCTTGACAGGTTGTACTGGTAGTAGGCTGAAGTGGTCATGGGACTTGGCCGGCCAGCAGTATGTCCCCCTCGACAGGCTGCACTGGTATTTGGCCGAGCTGGTCAAGGGACTTGGCCGGCCGGCAGATGGTCTGCGCCCCTCAATGGCCTGCACTGGTAGTCGTCCGAGTCTTCATTTGAAATATGCTTGCAATTTCAACCTTCTCTTCATTTTTCTTCAATTCTGCAAAAATTAAAAAGGTTCAAACTTTAAATATTTTAATTTTTTCTTTTAAAAAAACGTTGAAGTGTTTCCTGCACTCAAAGCATATCAGATTGGAACCACTCTTTAATATCAATTCATTCAAATTCAAGGCATATGCATCTATAACTTGGAAAACAAGAATTAGAGTTCTGTTGTGTAATTGAGAAAATTCAACCTCAAGGCTCATCACATAAACATGCATTAAAAAAAATTTTAAACATAAAGAACAATATAGAACCTGACAGCTTTATAGGAATTAGCTTTAGATTTATCGAATTTGAAATAAAAATAAGATTTGATTATTTACTTACCTAAAACAGGTGATATTTTTGAAGGATTTCACTCCAGCTTGGCACAGACATAAGATGCTCATGGAAAGAAATAATGTACCAGTATACTGCTGAAATGAAATAAAAATTAGAAATTTTATTTTACTCATTTCAGTACACTATATCATGTTATGATCATGTGGTGTTTAAAGGCTACAATATGTACAATATTAAAACAGTTCAGAGAATCTGTTAAACAATTACACAATATAGGT